TTAAATTGGAATAACCTTTAATTCCTTATCTTGCCTTATTGCTTTGGCTAGAATCTCCAGTACAATGTTGAATAGAAGTAGTAAGAATAGACACTTGTTTTATTCTCAGTCTTAGGAATCTTTCACTATTAAGTATGATGTTAGCAGCAGGGTTTTTTGTAGATGCCCTCTATTAAGTTGAGGAAGTTCTCTTCTCATCATTACTGGGAGTTTTCATTAGGAATGATTGTTGGATTCAGTCAAATACTTTACTGTACCTATGAAATGATCATATAGCTTTTCTTTTGTTAACAGGATGAGTCACATTATTTATTTGTTTATCCATTTATTTTAAGAGCTGGAGACTACAGCACTATGTTGATTTTTTAAAATGTTAAACCCACTTTGTATCCCTGGGATAAACATTGCTATATAATATGTTGTCCTATTAACATATTGTTAGGTTTGATTTCCTAAAGTTGTTTAGAATTTTGGCATTTATGTTCATGAAATATGTTGATCTTTAACTTTCTTTTCTTATAATGTATTTGTCTGCTTTTATTATCAGGGTAATGCTCACTTTATAAATTTGGTTGGGTAAGCATTCCATCTTTTCAATTTTTTGGAAGAGTTTGTGTAGAATTGTTGTTATTTCTTCCTTAAATATTTGGAGGATTCACCACTGAAGTCATTTGAGCCTGGAAATTTTTGTGGGATGGGTTTAAACCAAAAACGAATTTTCCTTAGTAGTTATAGGGCTATTCAGACTATTTCTTTTTGAGTGGGCTTTGGTAGTTGTATTTTTTGATAAATTTTTTAATTTTACCTATTTATATATTGCACTTACTGGCATAAAGTTCTTCATATATTTTCTTATTATTGTTTATATATATATATATATAACCTTTACTGATGATACCTCTCATTTGTCATGCTGATAATTTGTATCTTCTAAAATTTTATCGATTTTATTATCTCAAAGAACCAGCTTTTGGTTCATGGATTTTCTCTATTTTCGTGTTTTCCATTTTATTGATTTCCACTTTGATTTTTATTTCCTTTGACTTACTTTGGCTTTCATTTGCTCTTATCCTTCCTTCCTTCCTTCCTTCCTTCCTTCCTTCCTTCCTTCCTTCCTTCCTTCCTTCACTACACCCTCATTTCAGCAATAATTTCTCATTTCTTAAGGTGGAAGCTGAGGTAATTGATTTGAAACTTTTCTTCTTTTTATCATTTAGTAAATCCCCTAAGTACTGGTTTAGCAGCATGCCACAAATTTTGATACTGGGTTCCATTTCATTCCATTCAGGATACTTTCTAATTTCTCTTTTGATTACTTCAATAGAGCCATAGGCTATTTAGAAATGTGCTACCTAATTTCCAAAGAGGTGGAAATTTTCCAATGTCTTTCTCTGATAGATTTCTAATTTAATCAGAGAACCGATTCTGTATTACTTGGATCCTTTTAAACTTACTGAGATTTGTTCTCTGGTCTAGGATATGGGCCTATCTTGGTAGAATATTTCATGCTCACTTGAAACTAATGTATATTCTGCTGTTGGACTGCTGGATAGAATATTCAATAAATGTCAACTAAGTTGAGTTGGTTGATATAATTTTCAAATCTTTTATCTCTGTACTGATTTTCTGTGTACTTATTCTATAAATTATTGAGAGAGGGCTATTAAAATTTTTAACATTTATCAGGAATTAGTTTATATATTTCTCTTGGTAGTTTTGTCAGTTTTTGCTTCGTGTATTTTGAAGCTCTGTTATTAGGTGAATATGCACTTGAAATACTGATTGATTAACTGACCCTCGAGTAATTGACCCTTTAATCATTATGAAATGACCTTCTTTACCCTTGGTCATATTCTTTGCTCTGAAATTTACTTTGTGTGATATTAAGAGAAACTTTACAGATTTATTTTGAGTAGTATTAGCATGGTATATCTTTCTATCGTTTTACTTTTAACCTCTTCATGTCTTTTTTTATTCGAAGTGCATTTTTTTAAGGCAGCATATAGTTGAGTCTTGTCAGTGTTTTAAAAGCCAATCTAACAATCTCTGTCTTTTATTTGGGATACTTAGACCATTTGCATTTAATACAATTATCCATATAATTAGGTTTAACTCGATCATCTTATTATTTGTTTTCTATTTGTCTTATCAGTTATTTGTTTCCCCCTTCCCTCTCCTCCTGCTTTCTTTTGGAATAATTGAATATTTTTTATTATTCCATTGTTAGCTTTCTTCTTTTTGTTGGCTTATTAGCTGTAATTTTGTTGTGTTATTTTAGTGATTGTTTTAAACTTTGTAGTATACATCTTTAACTTATTACAGTTGATCTTCAAGTGATAATGTACCACTCTGTATATTTAAGAACCTTAAAATGTTACAATTTCATTTCTTTCCTCCTGATCTTTGTGCTATTGTTATACATTTTCACAGGTTATAAAATCCATATTACATTGCTTTTATTTTTGTTTACCAATTATCTTTTAAAAAATATTTGAATAATAAGAAAAACATTCTATATGTTTATGTAATTACTATTTCTAAAGTTCTTTATTACTTTGTATAGATTCATATTTCTATCTGGTGATATCATTTCACTCTCCCTAAAGGAGTTTCTCCAACATTTCTTATAGTTCAGTTCTGCTTGTGATAGACTGTTTCAGGTTTTGCATGTCTTAAGAAACAGTTATTTCACTTTCATTTTTGAACAGTATTATTGCTGGGTATAGAATTCCAGGTTGACAACTTTTCTTCTCCCCCCTCCTTTATTACTTTAACAAATGTGCTCCCTCATCACTGCCTTCTCTTTTGCATTGTTGATGTTATCTTTGTCTGGACATATGTGTCCTTTCTCTCTGGTGACTTTTAAGATTTTCCCTTAAAAGCTCCATATTCTGGTTTAAGTGATGTGATTATGATGCACCTTGGACTAGTTTTTTAAATTTTTTTTTTTTGTCTTGGTGCTTGTTGAACTTTTTGGATCTATAGGTTTATAGTTTTCATAAAATTTGTAAAAATTTCAGTTATTATTTCTGTAAGCTTTTTCTCACCCTTTTATTTCTTTCACCGACTCCCATTATATTAAGCTGTTTGAAGCTGTCTCACCACTTAGGCACACCTGTTCTTTTTAAAAAATTTTTTTTTTTTTTTTTTTTTTTCCTGAGATGGAGTCTTGCTCTGTTGCCCAGGCTGGAGTGCGGTGGCACAATCTCGGCTCACTGCAAGCTCTGCTTCCCAGACTCAATAATTATCCTGCCTCAGCCTCCCAAGTAGCCACTATGCCAGGCTCATTTTTGTATTTTTAGTAGAGGCAGGGTTTCACTGTGTTGGCCAGGCTGGTCTAGAACTCCTGACCTTGTGATCTGCCCGCCTCGGCCTCCCAAAGTGCTGGAATTACAGGCGTGAACCACTGTGCCTGGCCAATTTTGTATTTCTATAAATATTCTTGGGCTCTGTTCTGGGACCAGTGAAGTTACTTGCTCTTTTTACGTCTTGCTTTTAAGATTTGTTAGGCAGGACTAGAAGTGTGCCCAGTGTAGGGATAAATATTCCCCATTACTGAGGAAATGCCCTTCTGCATAGTCTGCCTAATGCCTGGTGCATCTTGAGTTTACTCTGGCAGCATGTGAGCACCATTTTAATCATTTTGAATGGTTCTTTCCCTCACCTCAGTTTTCTCACACGAATGCACTGACTAGTACTCAGTTGAAAGCTTGAGGGGACCCTCTGCCGATAAGCAGCTTTTCCTCTCTGTGCAGCTCTCTCTTCTGTGGTATTCTGTGTCCCATGAACTCTCCCGTCCACTTTGCCAGCAGATGACAGGTCCATGGTAAGAAAACATCAGTATATCTGGCATCAGTAGTCTTGTCTCCGCCAATGCTCATAGAAACAGAAGGAGACAGATTACTAGCTTAGTTCATTTCGTGTTGCTACAACAGAACACCTGAGATGGGTCATTTATGAGGAACAGATATTTATTTCTTATCGTTTTGGAGGTTGGGAAGTCCAGGGCAGGAGTCCACCTCTGGTGAGGGCCTTCTTTTTTGTGTCATCCCATGGCAGCAGGCAGAAAGGCAAGAGAATATTCATGCAAAAGACAGAGAGCCAAATAAACCTTTTTTTTTGTTTGACAGGGTCTTGCTCTGTCACCCAGGCTGGAGGGAGGACAGTGGCACACTCACAGCTCGCTGCAGCCTCGAACTCCCAGGTTTAATCAATCCTCCCACCTCAGCCTCCCGAGTAGCTGGGATTACAGGCACACACAGCCATGCCCAGATAATTTTTTTGTATTTCTTTTAGAGACAGAGTTTTCCTGTGTTGCTCAGGCTGGTCTTGAACTCCTGGGCTCAAGTGATCCTCCTACCTCAGCCTCCCAAAGTGCTGGGATTACAGGTATGAGCCACCATGCCTGGCCCAAACTCACTTTTATAACAAACACATTCTCACAGTAATAACATTAATCCATTCATGAGGGCAGAGCCCTCATGACTTACATCTTATTAGGCTCCACGTCCCAACACTGTTGCAGAGGGAATTAGGTTTCCAACACACACACTTTAGGGGATACATTCAAACCACAACAATGACTGAAAGGGCTTCTGATTTCAGCCTACTAAAAGACTACCTGACATTAAGAGCAATGATTTCTTTGAAAAGAATTACAGGCTGTGGGCTGTGCCAATGCTGCTAGACATCCGTTTTTTAATAAGCTCCTTGTTATTGCCACAAGTTATGTGTTAGGCAGTAATTGTTCAGTGGGGAACAAACTTTAATAGGTATAGACTGAAAGTTTGCAGTGAAAAAAGGCAAGAGACCGTGTAGTAACACGGTGACTCTTGATCTCTGCTATGGTTCCAAACATCTAGGCAGCTGTCTCCTGCAGCTTTGCATGTTCTCTACCTCCGAGATTCTGACTGGCAGTGTGGGTTGGTCATGGGAGGAGGTGAGTGCAGACCATGAGGAGAATAGACCCAGGAAATGAACAGCCTGTTTTCTAACCACAGGTGCCTTCTTCATCCCCTACCTCGTCTTCCTCTTTACCTGTGGCATTCCTGTCTTCCTTCTGGAGACAGCGCTAGGCCAGTACACTAGCCAGGGAGGCGTCACAGCCTGGAGGAAGATCTGCCCCATCTTTGAGGGTGAGTAGCTCTGTACCTGATTCCAAAGCATCTTCATTAGTGGTTGTGAACCTTATTTGGAATGACTTGAGTGATTAGTAGCAGTTCTGAGGTTGAGGTAAGACCCCGAGTCTCTGTGCTAAATCCTTGGTTTGTGGGATGCATGCTAAGCTAGTCAGCAGATCCATCAGAGAGTGGGCGAGAAACAGCAGCGAGGATGGGGCAAAGACTTTAGGTTAAGTAAGTAGAGTGCAAAGCTACTTTAGCTATATGTTTTAAATACATAAAAATGTTGTATTTTAAGACATATTTAGCTCAATTATAAAAATTTTAAAAGAGAACTTTAAATGAGAAAAAATTATTTCATTAATAGTTCTATCTTGGCTGGGCGTGGTGGCTCAGGCCTGTAATCCCAGCACTTTGGGAGGCCGAGGTGGGTGGATCACCTGAGGTCAGGAGTTTGAGACCAGCCCGGCCAACATGGTGAAATTAAAATACAAAAATACAAAAAATACAAAAAATTAGCTGGGTGTGGTGGTGGGCACCTGTAATCCTAGCTACTCAGGAGGCTGAGGCAGGAGAATCTCTTGAACCTGGGAGGTGGAGGTTGCAATGAGCCGAGACTGCACCACTGCACTCCAGCCTGGGCAACAAGAGCGAAACTCTGTCTCTAAAAAAAAAAAAGAAGTTCTATCTTGACACAAGTATTTAAAATTTACAGTCTTTAATTTCATTATTTCTCCATATATAGGATTTTCTTTAGTTTTTATTTTGAAATAATTACAGATTCACAGGGAGTTACAAAAATAGCAGTTTTCCTCAATGGTAAATGGAACTCCTGGCCTCAGACAATCCTCTCACCTCAGCATCCCGCATAGCTGAGATGACAGGTGCATGCCAGCACCGTCCGCCTTCCCTAGCCCAATTCTGCAGTTTCCCCGCAGGCATTGGCTACGCCTCCCAGATGATCGTCATCCTCCTCAACGTCTACTACATCATTGTGTTGGCCTGGGCCCTTTTCTACCTCTTCAGCAGCTTCACCATCGACCTGCCCTGGGGCGGCTGCCACCACGAGTGGAACACAGGTATGGTCATCTCCCGAGGGCCCGCTTCCTCCTCCTGTTCTGCCACATTCACCGGAAGTGGGATTGTCCCCGTATCCCAGCTTAACATGGACACCCCAGAAATCACCCAAGCAGATCATGGAGAGCTGATGTCGAGAATAAGATCGAGGATTCACCAGCCTCACAGGCAAAATGTCAGGAACCTTTTAAAGAAAAAATTAACATCTTCAATGAGAACTGACCACTGTTACGTTGTTTGGCCATTTACTTAAATCAGCTTGGAATATGGTTAGTTTGATATATGGATACATGTCTTGTTCATTCATTTGTTTCTCATATCTTCTTTCTGATACATTTTAGGTCTTTCAAACTTGCTATTCATCCGGACTTGCTTGTCGGGGTGGCAGAGGCGGGAGAAAATCCGCATACAAGTGGACCCGCACAGTTCAGATCCGTGTTGTTCGAGGGTCCGCTGTGATTTATAGTAGCAATCGCAGTCGTGTGTCACTGAATGACAGGGGTACACTCTGAGAAATGCCCTGTTGTATGAACATCACAGAGTGCGCACACACACCCCTACATGGCACAGCCCATCACACACCTGGGCTGCGTGCTGTAATACTGTACTGAACACTGTAGGCACGTGTAGCACAGTGGTAGGTGTTTGTGTATCTAAACATAGTGAAACCTAGAAAAGGTACAGTGAAGATGCAGTATTTTATAACCACACGGGAACACTGTCATATAGGTGATCGACTGTTGACTGAAATGTTGCTGTGTGCTGCATATCTGTAATTTCTCCTGTGCTTGTAAGACTACCTGAGCCACCCATGGTAATAGAACTACTGACTCTAATGTATAGAAAGTAACGAAAACAGGCCGGGCGCAGTGGCTCACGCCTGTATTCCCAGCACTTTGGGAGGCCCAGGCGGGCGGATCACGAGGTCAGGAGATCAAGGCCATCCTGGCTAACATGTGAAACCCCGTCTCTACTAAAAAAATACAAAAAACTAGCCGGGTGTGGTGGCAGGCGCCTGTGGTCCCAGCTACTCGGGAGGCTGAAGCAGGAGAATGGCGTGAACCTGGGAGGCGGAGCTTGCAGTGAGCCGAGATGGCGCCACTGCACTCCAGCCTGGGCGACAGAGCGAGACTCCATCTCAAAAAAAAAAAAAAAAAAAGAAAGTAACAACAACAACAAAAATATCTAGGACAATGCTGTCCAAAAGAACTGTCTGTAATGATGAAAATGTTCTTTGCACTATCCAATACGGTAGCTATTAATACCAGCTACGTGTGGTTATTTATTGATTTACCTTTTCTCGGCAGTCGCAGTGAACCAGTGTAGGTTTGGAGTGACTCCTACATGTGGTTATTGAGCATCTGAAATGTGGCAAGTGGTTGGAGGAACAGAACTTTGACATGTGCATTGAATGTTAACTTAAAGAGCCACAGGTGGCTCATGGCTGCCCTAGTGGACAGCGTGGCTGGAGAGCACAGGGGACACTCTTCAGCTTGGATTCTTGGCACATCCCTCTCTCCTTGTCCAAGTATCTTCCAGTGCCAGTCAACAAGGCCCTACCCCTTTGAAGTGGGCTAGCCATGATTAACTCTTTCTTTCTTTTTTATCTTTTTGTTTGTTTGAGATGGAGTCTTGCTCTGTCGCCCAGGCTAGAGTGCAGTGGTGCGATCTCAGCTCACTGCAACCTCCACCTCCCAGGTTTAAGCAGTTCTCTGCTTCAGCATCCAGAGTAGCTGGGATTACAGGCGCCCACCACCATGCCCAGCTAATTTTTTGTGTTTTTAGTAGAGATGGGGTTTCACCATTTTGGTCAGCCTGGTCTTGAACTCCTGACCTTGTGATCCCCCTGCCTAAGCCTCCCAAAGTGCTGGGATTGCAGGTGTGAGCCACTGCGCCTGGACCAATTCTTTCTCGCTCAGATAAGTTACTCAATTCTGAACTGCAGTTTGAATCCTTTACTTACCCGGAAAAGCATTTTGCGTGGTTAGCATGATATTCTTTATCCCTTCATGACCTGACTCCTGTCTATGTCACCACCTCACCGTTACCTCCCTTGCCTTGTACTTGCTGCTCCCCTTCCAGGCACGGCTTTGTGCATCACTGCCACCACCTCCATTCCACCCTGATTTTTCAAAGGGAAAGTAAACCTTGGGGGTACCTCCTCTGATACCCCAAGATCGCATGAGGCTCTTCTTAAATGTGTCTGGTGGCACCTGCACTGGCCTCGGCCCTACTGCTGCACTTCCCTCACTTTTCTTCTGCTTGTTGACTTGATTTTCCCACTAGTCATCAGATCGTGAGAGCAGAAAAGGTGTCTTTATCTCCACTGCTTCTGTGCCTAGCACGGTGCTGGCTCTATCATAAGCACTCAAAAATATTGACTGAATGAATTGGGGTTTAAAGATCTGTTTTATTATAATTAGTCTGGGGACAGTGGCTCACGCCTGTAATCCCAGCACTTTGGGAGGCTGAAGCCAGTGGATCCCTTCAGCTCAGGGGTTCGAGACCAGCCTGGGCAAGGTGCTGAAACCCCATCTCTACTAAAAATACAAAAATTGTGCCGGGGTGGTGGCACACACCCATGGCCCTCGCTACTTGAGAGGCTGAGACAGGAGGATTGCTTGAGCCTGGGAGGTGGAGGTTGCAGTGAGCCGAGATTGTGCCACTGTGCTCCAGCCTGGATAGTAGAGAAGGACTTGGTCTCCAGAAAAAAATCTGTTTTATTGTAATTCTTTAGCTTTATATATATATTTCTTTATTTTATTTTTAAAAATATCTTTGTGTACTGAAACCACCCTTGACAACCAGCTTGTCAGAGAGTAAAGATTTTATCCAGATCTCAGTGGAGTCCCTCTTAAAACGATTTTGTCAATTTTTGGTGGCCTAGAGCGTTTGCTTCAGGGCATCATTAGGCCTATCTTCCTTTGGATCGACTGGCGGTCTCTGGGACAATTCTGAGGCAAATTGAATACCTGAGTGTTATTTTTTGACATTGTTGACATCTCTCCTGGTGAGCCTGGTTTTACTCAGAGCCTAGCATTTGAACAGCACAAGACACGCCGTCCTGCCAAGATGAAATAATGCTTTTCTGGGTGTGCTGCAGTGTCAAGGAAAGTGAATGGTTTAGTGGACAGAGCTCCCAGATGGCCTTCAACCACCCAACAGATATTTGTTGAGCTCCTGCTGTATGATACCAGGCTGTGTTCTGAGCACTGGGAATATGGTAATAAACAAAAACAAAGACCTCATCCTCCTGGCCACCCTCATTCTAGCGGTGGGAGCATCCTCCTGGCCACCCTCATTCTAGCTGTGGACAGAGACGAGAGACGTAAACAAAACAAGTGGGTGAGACGTGTCCGGGAGGTAGAGGCGTAAACAAAACAAGTGGGTGAAACGTGTCCGGGAGGTAGAGACGTAAACAAAACAAGTGGACGAGACGTGTCCGGGAGGTAGAGACGTAAACAAAACAAGTGGGTGAGACGTGTCCGGGAGGTAGAGACGTAAACAAAACAAGTGGACGAGACGTGTCCGGGAGGTAGAGACGTAAACAAAACAAGTGGACGAGACGTGTCCGGGAGGGAGAGGCGTAAACAAAACAAGTGGCTGAGACGTGTCCGGGAGGTAGAGACGTAAACAAAACAAGTGGGTGAGACGTGTCCGGTTAGAAAGCAGCAGGACATGTCATGTTAGAAGACGGGCTACGGAGGAAAATAAGACAGAGACTGTGAGTTTTATGGGTGGGGTTGCAATTTTCAGTGGCATGGTCAGGAAAGGCCTTACTGAGATGCCCCTTCAGCACTGGTCTCAGGAAGGAGGGGAACGAGGCATTCAGCTGGGGGACAAGAACTCTAGGAGGAAGGAGCTGAGGCGGCACGGCACCTAACATGCCCCGTGTGTGCAGGGAACAGGGTGGATGTGGGAGGGCAGGTGGCTGAGGGAATGGTGCGGGAATGGATCCAGTAGGGCCTTGAAGGCAACTAAAGGGGTTGCAGCTTCTTCCTTTGAGTGGGATGGGAAACCCATTGGAGGCCTTGACCTGGGGTGTGACATAGAGTGATCTAAGGTTGAACAAAATGGAGATTTCATGAGGGGAGCAAGGGTGAAAACTGAAGGCCAAGTAGGAGCCGGGAGCGGATGGTGCCTACCCTCTACCAGGTGTTGGTAGTAGAGGTGACAAGAAGGTGGAACCCAGACAACTTGCTGACCTGGGTTCCGGCCTACACTTGCTCATTCATGAGCAGATACAGGCCATTTCTAAGACGATCCACTGTCTTCATGGGCACAATGGGGAAAACAGTATCGGTTTTAATATTTCCCAGGATTATTGTATTTATCAAACATAAAAAAGTCAATACTCTTTGTAGAACTCCAAAATCACATACAAATAATAAAGAGACCATGTATTGAGCGCTCTACATCCATGTTTTCATTTAATTTCTTATCAATCCTACGCAATGGATCTTACTATCTACGTTTTAGAGACGAGGGAAGCCAAACACAGAGAGCTGAGCTATAACCAACCCCCAGACGCACAGTTCGTACCCGGGGGGTGAGCATTCAAGCCAGAGCTTTCCAGCCTGTGCTCTTGGCCATTCTGACACGTCACTTCCCCAGAAACCGTTCTTATTAGTCCTCAAAGGTGGTGACTTCGCACAGGGTGCCTACCTAGAAATGTTAGCGTGCTTTGAAGCAGCTGGTCTGGAGAGCATCTTTCCTGTTGCCATCTGATCATGCTTAAGGAGAATATATACCCAAGCATCTATGTACCCACATGTCCAAGTGTGCAGTAGAGAGTCAGCTGCGTTTGTTGAGGTTACTATGTGTGGGAGGATGTTTTGTGCGGATAACCTTAGCCTGGCTTCTGCCGAATACCTTCCTTCCCATTCTCCTAGAAATCACCCTGCTCTCCAGTTGTGTCATACGCTGGCTGATGATTTTTCTCTTTTTCCCTCCTCGTGACCCATGGGTAGAACACTGTGTGGAGTTCCAGAAGACCAACGGCTCCCTGAATGGTACCTCTGAGAATGCCACCTCTCCTGTCATCGAGTTCTGGGAGTAAGTGAGACCCTTCCCCACCCAGTGTGGGCCATGTGTTCAGAAGAAGGGTATGGGGAGGAGGTCACACCAAGGTCACTCTCAATAGACAGCAAGGGAAGAATTTCCACTAAGTGGCTTTTTTCTGTGGTGCCCGTGTTTGTGGTTATTGCAGGACTTGTTTCAGAGATAAGACTCTTGCAGTTCTCCTCGGGCTGTGCCTGGCCTTCCTTGCCTGCACCCCTGCCCCTCGTCAGAGAGTGTGTGTGCATATGTGCTCTCACTCTGCACTTCCTCCTCCCTGTGTCTGCAAGCGTGTGGACTGTGACCCACCCCTCCCCCCAGTATTGATATTCACCCAGGGCAACAGTCCTGCTGTCAAAAAGTCCTGAAACCTTGGTTGGGAACATAGGTGCCTGCACCTCCTTCCCCTGGCTGGGGACAAAGCACTCGGAGCAAACTTACCTGGGACAGTCTCCATTCTCCACCTTTCTGCAGTCTCCATTCTCCACCTTTATATCCACCTCCAGCTCTGCAGTCTCCGCTCTCCACCTTTATGTCCACCTCCAGCTCTGCAGTCTCCACTCTCCACCTTTATGTCCACCTCCAGCTCTGGGCTAAGGATGGCCTCATGTGAAGAGAGCAGAGAAGCCTTTAGACAAGAGCCGGGAGGCACGGCTTGGCTCCACTGTCCCAGGAACGGGGCCACAAAACTGAGGCTGGCAGAAAAAGTAAGCCAGGTTCAACCCTTCTTTCCCCAGGCGGCGGGTCTTGAAGATCTCTGATGGGATCCAGCACCTGGGGGCCCTGCGCTGGGAGCTGGCTCTGTGCCTCCTGCTGGCCTGGGTCATCTGCTACTTCTGCATCTGGAAGGGGGTCAAGTCCACAGGCAAGGTTCGTGTGGGGAGCTCCTGCCCCTCCCATCCCCGGACTCCCTGTCCTCACTAGGGGCTGTCACCCAGGAGTTCTCGAAGCTGTGGCCCCGTCGAGGATGGGAGGCGATGACCCAGCAAGGATTTGATGCAGCTTCCATCCTTGATTCTGTGCCTCTCCTGGATTCCCGTGCTTCTGGATTTTGGGACTGGAAGAGAGCGAGAAGGACAGGAAGGACACCTCCAGGGTAATCTGATCTTGGAATTGATGATGTGTGGGCACATTGCGAATTGAACATGAGTCATGGTTCCCTAATTGATACAACAGTTCTTTGGAAAAAGAATTCCATGAAGACTCTTCATCTCAAAATGACTCTTAACCAACTCAAGAATTCCGGGGGACTCTTTGCCCTGGAGCAAAGAGGGCATTCTGAATTCTTCCGAACTCTTGCCCTGGGGGCCTCTCCTAATCTGGCTGCCTGGTTGTGCTAAGCTATGTGAGGACAGGGGTCACGTGCCACAAATCTTTTCATATCTGACAATCCTTGCCGTGAATGCCAAGCACACTTGTTGGGAGAATGCCAAATGTCAGTCACTCAACAAATATTTATTGAATATGTGTCAGGGGAGGCGGGAGCTTTTAGCTGGAGGGAGGAAGGGAAGAGGGGAGGCTGTAGCTCAAGGGATAGGGGAGATGGAACTATTTCAGGGAACTGGCCCCCAGTATTTCAATGTAGGTTCTTTCTATTTTCCATAAGTGTCAGCTGACTGAGAAATAGAGACAGTACAAAGAGAGGAATTTTATAGCTGGGCTGCCGGGAGCGACATCACATATTAGTAGGACCGTGATGCCCACCTGAGCCTCAAAACCAGCAAGTTTTTATTAAGGGTTTCAAAAGGGGAGGGGGTGTAAGAACAGGGAGTAGGTACAAAGATCACATGCTTCAAAGGGCAAAAAGCAGAACTACTAATAAGGGTCTAACAAAGATCACATGCTTCTGAGGGAACAGGACAAGGGGCAAAAGTAGAGCTACTAATAAGGGTCCAACAAAGATCACAGGGCAAAGGGCAAAAGCAGAACTACTAATAAGGGTCTATGTTCAGCGGTGCACGTATGGTCTTGATAAACATCTTAAACAACAGAAAACAGGGTTTGAGAACAGAGAACCGGTCTGACCACAAATGTACCAGGGTGGAATTTTCCCCCACCCTAGTAAGCCTGAGTGTACTGCAGGAGACCAGGGCATATCTCAGTCCTTATCTCAACCGCATAAGGCAGACATTCCCAGAGTGGCTGTTTATAGACCTCCCCCCAGGAATGCATTCCTTTCCCAGGGTATTAATATTAATATTCCTTGCTAGAAAAAGAATTTAGCGATATCTCTCCTACTTGCACGTCCACTTACAGGCTCTCTGCAAGAAGAAAAATATGGCTCTTTTTGCCTGACCCCGCAGGCAGTCAGACCTTATGGTTGTCTTCCCTTGTTCCCCAAAAATCGCTGTTATTCTGTTCTTTTTCAAGGTGCACTGATTTCATATTGTTCAAACACACGTGTTTTACAATCAATTTGTACAGTTAACACATTTATCACAGTGGTCCTGAGGTGATGTACATCCTCAGCTTACAAAGACAACAGGATTAAAAGATTAAAGTAAAAACAGGCATAAGAAATTATAAAAGTATTATTTGGAAACTGATAAATGTCCATGAAATCTTCACAATTTATGTTCCTCTGCCGTGGCTCCCAGCCGGTCCCTCCATTCGGGGGGTCCCTGACTTCCCGCAACAAAACTAAACAGCTGTGGACGAGCTGGGAGCAGGAGGAACACTCCCTTGACCTTTCCTGAGGAGCTCCTGCCCCTGCCTCCTGCCTCTGCCACTTCCTCACTCACAAGCTCCTTGTCTCTCATTTGCCCATGACCAGGTGGTGTACTTCACGGCCACATTTCCTTACCTCATGCTGGTGGTCTTGTTAATTCGAGGGGTGACGTTGCCTGGGGCAGCCCAAGGAATTCAGTTTTACCTGTACCCAAACCTCACGCGTCTGTGGGATCCCCAGGTAAGAAACCACAGACAGGAGCCCTCACGTGACTCCCGGGGCACCTGAGCTCCAGGCTTTCCCTGCACTCTGGCAGGGAACCCCTGCACCTAGCACTACCCTAGGATGTCCACAGTGGCAGCAGGGGTGCACCCTTCCTTCTCTAGATACCTGTTTGTTGCTGGAAAGGGGTCCCAATCCAGACCCCAAGAGAGGGTTCTTGGACCTTGCACAAGAAAGAATTTGGGGGGAGTAGAATAAAGCAAAAGCAAGCTTATTAGGAAAGTAAAGGAGGCCAGGTGCGCTGGCTCACGCCTGTAATCCCAGCACTTTGGGAGGCCGAGGTGGGTGGATCATTTGATGTCAGGAGTTCGAGACCAGTCTGGCCAACATAGTGAAACCCCCCCTCTACTAAAAAATACAAAAATTAGCCGGGCGTGGTGGTGGGAGCCTGTAATGCCAGCTACTCGGGAGGCTGAGGCAGGAGAATCACTTGAACCTGGGAGGTGAATGTTGCAGTGAGCTGAGATGGCGCCACTGCACTCCAACCTGGCCAACAGAGTGAGACTCTGTCATAAAATAAAATAAAATAAAATAAAGGAATAAAGAATGGCTGCTCCATAGGTAGGATGCCCCAGGGCTACTGGTTGCCCGTTTTTATGGTTATTTCTTGATTATATGCTAAACAAGGGGTGGGTTATTCATTAGTTTTCCGGAAAGGTGTGGGCAATTCCCAAAACTGAGGGTTCTCCCCCCGTGTCAGACCATAGAGGTTAACTCCCTTCGCATTTGTAAACTGTCATGGCACTGGTGGGAGGGTCTTTCGGCATGCTAATGCATAGTAATTTGCATGTAAAGAGTGGTGAGGAAGACCAGAGGTCACTTCTGTCGCCATCTTGGTTTTCGCGGGTTTTGGCCGTCTCCTTTACTGAAACCTGTTTTATCAGCAAGGTCTTTATGACCTGTGTGTGGGGACGTGACGACCTCCTGTCTCATCCCGTGACTGAGGATGCCTCACTCCTGGGAACTCGGCCCAGAAGGTCTCAGCTTTATTTCACCCGCCCCCTATTCAAGCTGGAGTCGCTCTGGTTCAAATGCCTCTGACGTGTTAGCAGCTGTTTGTGGTCATAAGGTGTCTGACACTGTCCCTTCTTGGGTTCACAGCTGCCAGGGAACCCAGGCAAATATTACTAGGGTAATATTTCTAGTAATGTTTCTCAAGGGCCCCAAGTGTCACTCACAGTCCTTACTCAAGGGTATCCTTCTCCCATCCTCTCCCCACCCACTTCATACATTTATCTCTTAGGGGCTTGTCTCCTACTGAGCTTCCTCTTTAATTCTTACCCCTCAATCTGCCTCCTGGCTCCCTCCCTCTGCCCATGTGACCCACGTCTAGGCCCCAGCTCCCTGGCCCTGCCCTCAGCCAGCTGGGCTAGTGTTAAGTTTCCCTGTCAGATGTCCAGAGACGCCGAGTCTCCTCCCCACCCTGCCTTGGTGGTCTGCACTCCCTCTGCTACAGTGTGCTTTTTATTTTTATTTTTATTTTTTATTTTTATTTTTTTTTGAGATGGAGTCTCGCTCTGTCGCCCAGGCCGGAGTGCAGTGGCCTGATCTCAGCTCACTGCAAGCTCCGCCTCCCGGGTTCCCGCCATTCTCCTGCCTCAGCCTCCCGAGTAGCTGGGACTACAGGTACCCACCACCATGCCCGGCTAGTTTTTTTGTGTGTTTTTTAGTAGAGATGGGGTTTCACCGTGTTAGCCAGGATAGTCTCGATCTCCTGACCTCGTGATCCACCTGTCTCGGCCTCCCAAAGTGCTGGGATTACAGGCTTGAGCCACCGCGCCCGGCCTACAGCGTGCTTTTTTACCATCTGGGTAGGGAGAGGCGGTGTTGCCTGCTGCCTGAAGGGGGTTGAAAAGCAAGACCTGGAATGGGCCGCCCCTGCCTCTGACAAGTCTCTTACCTTCTCCTCTTTGGCAGCCAGTTGAAAGCTGGCAAAACTAGGAGGTGTTGAGGGCCGGAGGGGAGCGTGGGTAATCTCTGCCCCAGAGGCCCTGAAATGTTACCCGGTTATGCCCTGCCTCTGCCTCCTGGGCGCAGAGGCCACCCTGCCAGGGCAGTGAGTGTGCAACCTGGAGATCCTCCTCTTGTTGCTGGAGGATCTCTCTGTGTCTGTGAAAGAAGCCCCAAGGAGACATAAGGGCGAGTGGCTCCCAGCACATAGAAGACACTCTGGGATGGCTCCAAACGTTTTAAAATAGTCGGGCACCAGCATATTCACTGACGTTGCTGACAGGGAGCAAGAGAAAGGGGACAGGCACACCGAGGCTGGGAGCTCCGTGCACACAGGGGCAATGGCTCCCCCTGGTGCAGAACGTCAGGCGATCCGGAAGCCACGCCGTTCTCGGTCTCCTGTCCACTCCGGCCCGGTTTGGATTCTTTCATCCTGAGCTCTACTGGGACGCTGTGGCTTCCGGAAGCAGCCAGACCACTGCTGTTCAGAAACCTCCCTGCAGAGTCGAGTAGCCCTGGTCCTGAGAGTTTCTCAATAACCGTCTGGTGGGATAGAGGCTTATCTTTCCCTTCTCCCATTTCTCAGACAGCACAGAGATAAGATTGCTACTGCCGCATGTCCACGCCGGGCACTAGGGCTGTAGTCAGACTTTGGAGCCAAACTATCGAAGCACAACTGGGATCCTTCTAGGACCCCAGTGCATGTTCCTCATTGTAAGATGAGCCCACCGTGGCCTAAGTTTGTGCAGCCAGTAATTATGGCAGACCAGGCAAAGGATATCTTTGTTTTGTGAATCATAAGCCCTTTGACTTACCTAGAACCAAAGGGCTGTGGTGGACAGCAGGTGGCGAGCAGGAGTCGTAGGGGAAGCTGAGAGGAGGGGAGGCTTTGAAGTCCGGGTGAAGAGTTTGGCTTGGATTCCCCGCACACGAGAGAGCCACGGTGGTTCTGGAGCAGCAGAGTTGAGAACCAGTGGCTAAGGTACGAAGATCACTGATCACCTTTGTCCGCAGGTAGGCCAGAGAGGATGCAGGCAGGACCAGGAAAGGTGACAGGCAGAGAGGAAGGACAGAGGGGCTCAGGATTTCCACAACAGATTCACAGCTTTGTCCTGATCAGCTATTTACAGCTAACTACTAGGGCGTGCTTCCTCTGTCCCTGACATCGTTCAGAGGCTTACACGCGTTATTTCAGCAAACGCTCACAGCAGGTCAACCAGGCAACCCCATTTTATAGATTAGGACATTAAGGCCTAGAGAGCTTCAAGCATATTTTCACCCTCATACCTGCAGCTGGGACTGGGTCCGAAGGGTGGCAAATGCCGTGCACTTTATGGTCCACTCTTGGAGACGAGGTCCCTGGCTGCTCACCTTTGTTTGTCTCACAGCTTATCAGCAAAACCCTGAATGCATCTACTCTGAGTATCCACTATGTGCCGAATCTGTTCCAGTGCCATGTTTGGTACATAATAGCTTCCAGAAAACATAAAGAAGGTGGACCGGGTCACTTTCAAGTTCTGAACATTAATGAGGCCCTAAGTCTCTGTCTGGGTGACTGCAGGGACAAAGGCCTCTTTCAGCCTGTGCTCCGGGACACCGTTCTTTCCATTCCAGCCAGCTTTGGGCCGTGCAGGCAGCGTCCGTCTTCCAAGTGCTTTGGGGCGGTGGGGAGGGGGCTGGGCCAAGTGCCAGGACGGGTCCTGAGCAGCCGCCTTCTCTGCCTGGTCCAAGTCTCATGCTGAAGCTAAGCCTTTGTTGTCAGTGAACACAGCAGCACCTGCGGGGTGGGGGGGCTCTGCCAGAGCCCTAATTGATCTCGTTGGCATTCCGCAGGAAGTGTGATTATTCTCACTGGCATTTGCCTGGCACTCGAGAAAGGTGCAAAATTTCTTCTCCACGACACACAGACCAAAGGCGGATCTCTCTGCCAAGCACTGAGGCTGGTGTTGGGAGCCAGGCAGAGACAACGCCGTGCTCCCCTCTTGTTTGCTCCCCTTTTCCTGCCAGGCTTGCTGTTTGGGGGGCAGGTTGCTGCCTTTCCCGGTGTTCCCAGGCCTTGTCTCGTCCCCCTGGAGAGTGGCCACTGGAGACCCAGGGCTCTGCTGGAACCCTGCGCTTTGTTCAGGCCACTCGTTTCTTTCCTGGGTCCTGGCCCTGTGCCCGTTCTGCTGCACTTTAGGAGATTGCCGAAGGCGGGGGACGGGAGGAGGGCACCGAAGAGCCCCCCTGGAACCTTTTAAATCCCTGCGTGAAGCCAGTCGAAGGAAAGGTTTGTTTAGGGAGGAAGTTGAAATCACCGATTAGAACTCGTCTTTATTTTAGCATTGAAATCCAATCTATGCCACCTCGTTACCCATGAAAGATGAGTTGCTTTTTAAAATAATAGCAGCAGTAAACAGTGGCCAAAGCTAACCTTATTATGCTCCTCATTCGCCAGGCCCTTTGCCGAGTGCTTGACACAGTCCAACCCTGTGAGTGTGGGGTCAGCCTTGTCTTACAGAGGGAGAAACAGAAGCTTAGGGAACCTAAGAAACTTGCCCAGAATCACAAAACTGGCACGCGGGGGAGCTTGGGTCGATCTCAAGTAGTCTTTTGAAGACTGCTGTCTTATTCACCGTGATCGATATTTCCAAAGAATATGAATTATTTGAGAGTTTTAAGAGCTGCTTTTTATTATTCTAGAAGGTGAGATGGGAAACGAGTATTTATTTATGTGTTAGGCATTTTTACATACATTATTTTATTTGTTATTATACCCATTTTCCTCATGAGAAAAGGGAGGTTCAGGGAGGTTAAGTGAATTGCCTAAGGTCACACAGCCAGCAATTAATAAAGTCAGGAATTGAGCCCAGATTAACGTAACTTCAAAGCCCGTGCTTTTCCGTTACACCACATTGCCTTCCTAAAAACAGTAGAGAGAGATGGATAATTCAGGGGGTTGGACTTGAGGCTGAAAACATTTTTCCCAGATCCTCTCTCCTCCTCTTTCCCCCCAAGACCTCTTTTTACCTGCGTTCCACCAAGAATTTTTTACACTTGTTTTTCCCTCGGTCGGCCTTCTGCCCTAGCCAAAGACATGTCAGAGCTTTCTTCCAGAAACCAGAGCTCCTGGCGTGGGCAGGGGGTGGGCGCCTGTGGTGGGAATGGAACAGCTTGCTCTGCGTGTCCCTCAGCCCTGCTTCTGACCCTGTTCTTTTCCCCATCCCAGCAGGCTTGTCGGGCAGCAGCTGTGTGGGGAGCTGCGGCTTGCCAAGCTCCCAGCGAGGGGCTTTAGTCAAAGGCTTTGGTCAAAGAGTGCATTGACCCTTGTGCTCTGGGTTTCCAGCCCTCCTGCTGCATTTTCCTTGGTTCTCATTAATGTCTCCCCCAACTCAGTCTCCACATGACCCCACTCTGACCTCCCACCCCTGCCGAGGCGAGGTGAATGGCCAAGTCACGATTTCTCTTATTGTTCCTTCCCAAGCACAAGTTCACAAAGCTGCCCATCTCAGGCTTGTGCCTCTGCCTGTGTGTGGGCCGCTACAGTGCGCTTCCTTGGTAACTCATGGCCCGGTCTGCACCCAGTGCACTGTCAGGCCCGGGAGCAAATGTCCAAGGCGTGAGGCCTCCAGGCTCCTGGGCCACATCCTGAATGACCTTTTTGGGAGGAGGTGCCTGACCTCACGAAGGGGCAGTACCCAGGAGACACGCATTGGTCCTGAGCTCTTCCACCTCTCACCCTGGGGAAATGCTTTCTCTATAAGCTCAGGGGCTTTCGCCAGAAGGTCCTGCTCTTGAAGCTGCCAATAACTTAGCCGGTGAAGCAGGAATAAGATAGAACCAAGTGACTTTCATGCCAAAGTCAGTGAGTTTTCCTGAGATGACTATCTTTGCATGATCTGTGTGGTAGAGTTTTAGAAGAGAAAAGGATTTGGAACATCTCAAAGGAGGAAACAGACTGGCCAAGGCATCTCCTCAAAACTGGTGTGGCATCACACTGAAACTTTTTTTTTTTTTAACTGGGAGAAGCGAGACGCTGAAATTTGCAAGCACTCCTCTTGCCTGTCCTCAGAGTTTGTCTTTCTTTCCCACCGTTTCCTTCTCTAGCATTTCATTCCTACCACTTCCTTCTCTGTGTGATTTCCTCACTGGCTCCAGCCCCTCCAAATCCTCCTCTGTGCTTCTTGCTGCTGACTCCTTGTTCCTGGTGGCACCTCCTGCCTCACAGACCATCTCAGGACGGGATTCCCAGTGAACTCAAGAATGGGAGGCTGGAGACATTCTCCCCTTCCCCCTACCATCTTCCCTACTCTGTCCCTGGCCCTGCAGAATGGAAACATGATAAGAGGATGGGTGCCCTGGGTGCACCCCGATAGGGGCATCCCATACCTGGTGACCATTAGGATCACCCAGGAAGCTCTGAAAAGGATACGAGTTCTGGGTTCTCCTTCAGGCCTAGGGATTTAGCGTCTCGACTGGGGATGCTGACTGAGGAATCGGCGTGATTCTGGGGCGGTCAGCCTGCTGATGGATCCCTCGGGCCCCTACACTGCTGAGGAATGTGGCCGCTTTGGTAGGGGTGAGCGTGAAAGGAGGGAGCAAGGGGTAGGGGCTGAGGGTGGTGACCATGCCTAGGCAGGCAGGCAAAGACCAGGAAGGGACTGAGGAATTGGAGGCCTGATAGAGGGTTTTATGGAAAGTAGGGGCCTGCTCGGGGGTACCGGAATGAGGCTGAGCAGAAGACACAGACGGGTCATCCGGTACCCTTTCCGTTAGGAACACAGACACGTGAGGAACACCTGCTTGGATGTCTGCGTCCATCGCGGGGTGCTCCCTGGCTGTGTGCACGTCGCCGGGGCAGGAGCGCCTGGAGAGGGTCCTGCAGATCTGCGGGGTCACTCGGTCCTGTTGCCTTGATGTTCTTTCTGTCTGGGATGTTATTCTAGCTGTTAGATCTAAATCACAACATGCACAGGCTGGGCAAACCAGCTGAGATAATAACAATAACAGCCAACTCTATGTTTAGCTGGACTGTGATTTTTCCCCTCCCAAGCACTACAAAGCCCTTTTCGGAGGTGTTTCTGTTCGTCCTTTTGCCTTTTTGCAGGCCGAGAATTTCTCTCCCTGTCTGCAGACAGAGGTAGCTGAGATGTGAGGGACAAAGCTACATACTGGTGGTAGCCCTGATGTTAGGGACAGTGTTCCCGGAGACCCTGTGCCTGGATTCCTCCACACTGGTCACAGGAGAAAGTGGGGGCAGAACCTAGGGTCAAAACCTTGACAGGAGACCTAGCTTTGTTCTAGAGCCCTGTTCCGCCCTCCTACACACTTCCACCACGGGTCTTTTAGTCTTTTTCGTTTTCTTTGAATGCTTAATGCCTGTTCTATCCTAGTAGTGCCCAAGAAACTTCATCCAGGAGCCCAGGGAGTAGAGCCCACCGGGGTGACAGAGGTCACAGGGTGCCAGTGTTGGCTGAGAACAGGTTTCTCACCATCCCTAGCCAGTGTCCGGCTCAGCCATGTGCCTGTGTCCTTCCATGGCTTGAATGGCCCGGCTTTCCTGGGAGTTCACCTTTCTTGCCCTTTCCCTTTGTAGGTGTGGATGGATGCGGGCACCCAGATCTTCTTCTCCTTCGCCATCTGTCTTGGGTGCCTGACAGCCCTGGGCAGCTACAACAAGTACCACAACAACTGCTACAGGTGATTGGGGGCGTGGGGCCTGAGCCACACACCTGCATCTCTCTACTGTCCCTCCGGCCACACTAGACGAGGGTGAGTCGGAGGGTGCGTCAGCTCCTGGATCTGCCCCCCTGTCTGCACTTCCATATCCAACACCCCAGGGCTACCAGGAGCTGCAAGGAGCCAACTGCAAGGTGGACAGAGAATTGCATCTGAAAGGGTGGGATAGTTGTGATTGGCTGGGAGACCACAGCAGGAGGACCCGGCCTCCTGGCTGATGTAGAGGTTGGTGGGCTCAGGAGTGCTACGTAAGCAAGCCTGAGAAGCACAACAGGTCTTTGAATAATGTCGTTTCCTTATAACTTTGATGAGAAAAAAAAAAAACAAACTGGTTTCATTATAGGTTGTTTTGCATAAAGTTGCAATTTGCAAGAATGTATCGATGATAAGTGAGGTCCTACTGTGATTAGCAATGTCATGCATTGCACCCCAGTCTTGCCTGCTTGGTAACTCTGCCCCCAAAACTTTGAATCCTTACCCATTTTTCACACCATCTCCCTCACTTCACGTCCTGTCCCCGTTGTTCTCTCCTTGCCTACCTGGTTTGTGCTCAGAAAATTTAAGCCAGTTTTAATACAAGCTGAAACATAGCTGAAATGAAATCATTCTTGTGCATCTCAACATTGAATTTAGGTGACTAAGAGTTAGTTCTTGTTTGGGATCACCGTGTCTCTATCCCTGTGTTGGCATGCCAAATGGGATCATGGCCGGGTGGTAGTGTCCCATGAGGTGTGGACCAGGATGGCAGAGAGGGGCGGCTGTGTGGCAGTTTGACACATCTAGATTCATGTTTTACTTCCCTGGAGCCTCATTCTTTTGGGCTACCTTGATTTATTCCATGCCTGGGCTGGGGGGCCAAGGAGTGTCGGAGGAGAGCCCATGCTATGCGTGGCCCTCTGAATTCGGCCAGGTAGCCCTGCTCCGGCTTCCGTGAAGGGGCCAGGACAGCGTCCGTCAGGAGGGGCTGTGCTCCCAGACAGGAAGCAAGAGAGGTCGCAGCCCTGTTCTGATCCTGCCATTCCGCCCTCTCCTCACCCCTGCCCCACAGGGACTGCCTCGCCCTCTGCTTCCTCAACAGCGGCACCAGCTTTGTGGCCGGCTTCGCCATCTTCTCCATCCTGGGCTTCATGTCCCAGGAGCAGGGGGTGCCCATTTCTGAGGTGGCCGAGTCAGGTGAGTGTTTCTGGGGCGGCCCGGAGGCGGGGAGCCTGGCTCAGACCTCTGGCAGCCAGGGTCGAGAGGCGTTTCTGCGTGTCGCCTACTCTGGGTGAGCTACGGCCACCATTCAGTGGATGCATTCCGGGGTGGCTTGGGGGAGAACTGCAACAGTAATTCCAGCTTCAAAGAGGAGGCATGCAGTGAACATTTTTCTTCCCATCCTTGGCTTCCAGTTCATTACCCTGGAGGCAGCCAATGTTATCTGCTTCGTGTTTATCCTTCCAGAAATAGTTTAGACATATATGAGAAAATATATATATACAGACATACACATGTGATACATATTACTAGTTCTATTTCTTGCCTCCTTCTTAAAAAACCAAATGATAACACACTATATACACTGTTCTGTACCTTGTCTCATTTTGTTTATTTTAAAATGAATCTCGGCCGGGCGCGGTGGCTCACGCCTGTCATCCCAGCACTTTGGGAGGCTGAGGCGGGCAGATCACGAGGTCAGGAGATCGAGACCATCCTGGCTAACACGGTGAAACCTCGTCTCTGCTAAAAATACAAAAAATTAGCCGGGCGAGGTGGCGGCGCCTGTGGTCCCAGCTACTCGGGAGGCTGAGGCAGGAGAATGGCGTAAACCCGGAAGGCAGAGCTTGCAGTGAGCCGAGATCGCGCCACTGCACTCCAGCCTGGGCGATGAGCAAGACTCCATCTCAAAAAATAAATAAATAAAAATAAAAAATAAAATAAATAAAATAAAATAAAATAAAATAAATAAAATAAAATGAATCTCAAGGGGAAGTTTCTATCAGCATATAGTTTCCCCCGTTTGTGAGTGACTGCATTTCCGCCATGAGGTGCTGTTGTTGCTGCTTTCAAATAACATCAAGGCCCAGGCTCTGATCTGAATAAGCCGTAAAATGTTTCTCTTGCTCACCTACTTTTGCCCTGTAACAAGATGAATTTTTACCATGGCATTCAGAAGCACGTCTGGGCCACACAGGATGCCAAGCCCTGGGCGGGGGAGGTCTGGGATTCTCATTAAGAAGGATAGTCTTTCTCTCTCTCTCTCTCTCTTTTTATTTTTAACTTTTTGAGAGGGAGTCTTGCTCTGTCACCCAGGCTGGAGTGTGGTGACATGATCTGGGCTCACTGCAACCTCTACTTCTCGGGCTGAAGTGATTCTCGTGCCTCAGCTTCCCGAGTAGCTGAGATTAGAGGTGTGCGCCACCATGCCTGGCTAATTTTTGTATTTTTAGTAGAGACAGGGTTTCACCATGTTGGCCAGGCTGGTTTTGACCCCCTGGCCTCAAGTGATCCACCCGCCCCAACCTCCCAAACTGCTGGGATTATAGGCATGAGCCACCGTGCCTGGCCCATGTCTCACTTTCTAAGTGTGGACGGCATGCCAGGTGCTGGGCGCGGCACTCTGCTTGTGCCATGCGACGGAAACCTGTGGGGCAGGCTCTGCACAATCCCCGCCTCACCAGTGTGGGAGCTGGGACGGGCAGAAGCAAAAGACCTCCAAGGTCACGGTGATGCTCTTCACTTTTCAGAGGAACTTCCCATGGGGAGACCCAGGCTCTGTTATGTGCATTTTTTCCTGCCACACAAGTCAGTTGAGAGAAGCATTCACGAACTGTGAGGATGTGTGTCAGCAGCACTCTGCGATCAGTGCCAGTGTCGTCGTAGGGTGACAGAAAGGGCTCCAGGCACAGAGGTGGTAAACTGGAGGCCCCAGGCCAAACCTGGCCTTGGGGCAATTTTCTTTGGTACCATCTACACTCCTTACAAATACAAGAAATCATTGCTAGCACCTGGGGCCAGATGGCTCCGCTTCTCACCAGGCCCTACCACCTCCTTGTGTTTTGCGCCGGGTCTGCTTCACACATGTCTATGGTCTGCTGGCTTCTGAGCTCATTCTAGGCTTGAAACCTCGGGTCTGTACAATAGATCTGGAGTCCTTTTAGACCCACAGCCCTTTACACCTACCATCTCTAAATTTTGTTCTTGCCAATGAGAATGCAGTGAGAGGTACCTTGGAAATCCGAGAAACGGGTGGAGGTTGGGGCGGCTTCTCCTGGGTGAGGATGGTGGTGGCGATAGTAACTTTGGGGTGAAGTTTCCTCTAGCTCCTGGTATTCCATGGTCCCACACTGGGAAGCCGTGGGTCACACACGGCCTGGAGCTGGCCCAGGCACTGGCCCGTGTTCCTCTGCTCCTTGTCGTAGGCCCTGGCCTGGCTTTCATCGCTTACCCGCGGGCTGTGGTGATGCTGCCCTTCTCTCCTCTCTGGGCCTGCTGCTTCTTCTTCATGGTCGTTCTCCTGGGACTGGATAGTCAGGTATCAAGAGGCAGCCACTCAGGGGCTGAGAGATGAGTGGGGGGTGTGTGCTGGGGAGGAGGAGCAGTGGGCATGTGGTTGAACTTTATGCCCCAAGGGCCCGTAAACTAGCTGGGGGCTGGGTGAATGTCAGAAGTGGATGCCCTTTCGGGGACGCAGGGGAGCTTGAGGGTGAGTCCTGACCTCACCAGGCAAGGACAATAGCTCTGGGGACCTGAGAGAGTGAGGCTGGCAGGGCTGATCTGGGAGCGAGAAGCCAGCGCTCAGGGACAGGGCATCTCGGGAGCTCTCCTTCCCTGCAATCCCTTTGCCCTCTCATCCAGTTTGTGTGTGTAGAAAGCCTGGTGACAGCGCTGGTGGACATGTACCCTTGCGTGTTCCGCAAGAAGAACCGGAGGGAAGTCCTCATCCTTGGAGTATCTGTCGTCTCCTTCCTTGTAGGGCTGGTCATGCTCACGGAGGTGAGGGCCTGGGAGGCGGGGGAAGACGGGGGAGGAGGAGCCGAGTGACAGCTGCTACCTGTCAGTGAGACAGATACCCTGGCTTCGGGTCAGGGCAGGTCTTCTGGGCTTCCGGACACTAGGACTCCCTCTTTTCCCCATCCCAGAAAGGACAAAGTAGGCAGGTCCCTCCTCTGGCCTTTGGGCATGGACCACCCACCTCCAGGGATGGGTGAGGAGCCATTTGGCTCCCCAGTAAGTGAAGAGGTATGTGGAGCATTGGATTGGGAGAAGCCGGTGATTTCCCAGGCAGCTGAAGCAAGTTCTGTGCACAAACTTCAAAGCGAGAAAGGGAGCCCGGGGGCTGGGGAACGTTCTGTGTGCCGTCTCAAGGGAGAAGGAGGGAGATGCAGCTTGTCAGCTTGACAATATCAATGACAGCCCTTATCCTAATCCTTTCCCCAGAGAGTACACTCTGTGTCTTGGGCTTCGGGGCCAGTCCCTAAGTGTTCTCAGACATATCTAACAATCGTATCTTCTGTCTCAAAACAATAATAAAAATAATTAGCGTCTCGTATCTGCCTCGTGCTTTACGCCTTACAAATGACTTCTCTTTTATGATCCGTCTCCTGTGATCCTCACCAGCTCTGCTCAGTGCCTTCACCGTGTGATGCTCAAGGGCGTAGGAGGGAATCTGTCTGTTTCCACTGGATGAAGTTCTTTTTACAGCTCTCTCCTCCCGTGCAGGGCGGAATGTACGTGTTCCAGCTCTTCGACTACTACGCAGCCAGTGGCATGTGTCTCCTGTTCGTGGCTATCTTTGAGTCCCTCTGTGTGGCTTGGGTTTACGGTGAGTGACTCCCCCGCTAGGTCTCCGCATCCTCCTCTTGTCTAAGGATCTCGGGCCCTTAGACACGAAACAGACATCCACTGCTCACACTTAGCTTTTCCTGTGTAGGTTGCCTCCCTACCCAACCTCAAAAATCAGGCAAATCCTAAATTGCTGCCTTTGGAAGGCCCCCCGGACGCTGCCATGCCCAGTCTTGGTTATAGCTGTACTAGACCACCTCAGGTGGGCCTGTATCCCGCCCTGTCCAAACATTTTCAGCTTTTGACAACCTCGATAATCAGGAAGTGACTGCCCGTCCCCAGGCCAAGGCCTGCTTGCTGCTGTTTATGCCTGTGAGAGCCAGGGAAGAGCTTTCTCCCAGCAACGATTTGAACAGGCAGCTGTGATGCCGTCTCTTCATGGGTCCCCGCCCGTTCTGGTCTGTTTGTGGCCCCCTCCTGATGTTCTGGGTGCCGAAGAATGACTCTCCCGCTTCCTTCTTCCTTTCTCCATGGTAGGAGCCAGACGTTTCTACAACAACATCGAAGACATGATTGGGTACAGGCCGTGGCCTCTTATCAAATACTGTTGGCTGTTCCTCACGCCAGCTGTGTGCACAGTAAGATCATTTCAGGGATACAGTCAGATGAAGGGAGGGAGAGATGGTGGCTAGCAGGGTAGAGGAGCCGTTAGCCCTGCCATGGACTTCTCCCTAGGAACTGAAAATCATCTTAGGCTTTCACTCCTCCTGCTTTTGGATTCTAGAAAACTACAGCAAGATAGATTCTTCCTTTCCATGTCACAGAAGGATAAACTGAGGTCCAGAGCTGTCAGACGGTTTGACCAACACCACAGTGTGAGTCTAACGTCACAGGCCAGGACTGAACCCGGGTGCGCTGGACAGCTCATAATATTCTAATCACCACAGCAGTGGTAAAAGCAGCCAGCACAGAGCACTGACTGGGTGCTGGGCCCGAGGTGCTTGAACACGTATTAACTCATTTCATCTTCACCAGAGCCCCATAAAGGAAGTGCTGTCGTTACACTGGTGTTACAGATGAAGCTGAGGTTGAAGAGGTGGTTAAGCCCCTGGCCCGAGCTAGAAAGTCGCAGAGAACTTTGGCTGTATCTCTTTGTGTCAGCCGTTCCCAGGCCCCCACTGTGTGCAGGATAAAACTGAGGGGCAGAGGGAGAACGAGGCATGGCCTCTACCCTCGAGGCACTCATACCCCAAACTCACGGTGCAGGAGGGGAGGGAAATACCTCACGGCACGCAGTGGGCACACGATCACGTCCTAACTGGCAGTCAGCTGCACGTAGAGGTGCCCAGGGGCACAGGGGCCCTGGCGTGGCAGAGCCTACTGCTGGGGGGTGTGGGTTTCGGGCAGAGTGTGGATGGAGAAGATTGGAGGCTGATTGGCCCAGAAGAGCCTGGAGGGAATCCAGGCTTGGAGGGCGATTTCTTCCAGGCTGCTGGGGGTGGGGGAGCTGAGGGCACAGGGCCCCGCCCCCAACCCCTTTCTCTTCCGTTCCCCCCCAGGCCACCTTCCTCTTCTCCCTGATCAAGTACACTCCGCTGACCTACAACAAGAAATACACGTACCCGTGGTGGGGCGATGCCCTGGGCTGGCTCCTGGCTCTCTCCTCCATGGTCTGCATTCCTGCCTGGAGCCTCTACAGACTTGGCACCCTCAAGGGCCCCTTCAGAGAGGTAGAGCCTTTGTGGGCAAGAAGCAGCCCGAGGGGCTGGGAGGCTTCGCAGGTGCTGACAGGTGGACGGCCAGCCGGGGTGCACACAGTTGTACGGAGGAGCCCGCGGGCCTAGCCTGGGTGTCAGGGAGCCATAGAGGGGCTGCTGAGAAGTCTCAGGAAGAGACAGGGTGACTCCCAGACAGGAGCTGTGGGGACAGGAGGGCAGGTTTGTGTGTGGGGAGGCAGAAGCTGGCAGACCTGCCCCCACTCTGCCCCCTGACAGCCGCCTCTGTGCTCCCTGCAGAGAATCCGTCAGCTCATGTGCCCAGCCGAGGACCTGCCCCAGCGGAACCCAGCAGGACCCTCGGCTCCCGCCACCCCCAGGACCTCGCTGCTCAGACTCACAGAGCTAGAGTCTCACTGTTAGGGGCAGGCCCTGGGATGCTGCCTGTGAGCCTGGCCGTGGGGATGGCTGCAGAGGGGACAGGGCAGAAGCAGCCGCATGTGCTTCCCTGCCCCCCACCTGGAGTGGATAAGACAAAAGGGGTGTTTTGGAATCCACCTGCCGAGCTGGAGGCCTCCCACGCCAACTTTTCAGCTCGGGAGTTGCTGAACAGATGTGCAAGGCCAGTGCCAAGAGTGCCCCTCTGAGACCCTTGGGAAGCTGGGTGGGGGCTGGTGGGTGGGGCGAGACTGTTGCTGGCTTCGGGCCCTCTCACCCTTCATTCCATTAAATCCACATTCTTCCCGCTGACTGCTAGTGGTTCTGTCTGATTTCTGCCCCTCTGCCTGGCTGCCTTGACCCTTCCCCATGCTACAGTTGTGACTTTAGGACCTTGCCCCTCCCCATCCTAGCCTCCCCCACTGAGTTCTCCCTGGGGCCCCTCAGCACGGTGATGGGGGCTGGTGGTGGGGCCAGGCTGAGGGCCTCCATCATCAGGCATCTGGACCAGCCTCTCTCCTCGCGTCCTCAGCTTCCTTCCTCCTCCTTTGCACTGTGGAATAAGAAAGGAAATTGAGGGACGCAAGAAGGAGACCTGAGTCCTAGCCAAAGGAACGGTGAAGGCTGGTGGCAGCTTCCTCCTCCCCACGTTCCCTGCTGTGTCCTCGCCTACCCCCAGCGGCCAAAACTGTGCCCGTGTGCCCACCGAGGCCGGGCGCGGGGGACATGGGAGAGGGCTGGCTGTGACCATGCCCAGTGCAGCAGGTTCGGGAGCCTTGGCAGAGGAGGGCACTGCCAGGCTTGTCCAGCAGAGGGTGCCACTTCCTTGGGACCGCCTCGCTTTTCTGAGGATTGGAGACGCCGGATGCCGGGGCACCGGCAGATGTGGCCTCGAGGGGGTGGTGCTGCTGTGGCCACAGCTCTGCTGTCAGGGCCTGAGCTGCAGGGAGGAGCGAGGAGCTCTTTCAGGTGAGGCTGCAAAGAGGATCCAGGTGGAAGGAAGTCCACCCCCGCTCGGGGTCAGTGGGCATGGCGGAGGGGGTGCCCAGAGGGTGCCAAGGTGCGTCTCTGCAGCCTTACCTCTGGATATGGGCATGGAGCCGGGGCCCACGTATTTCTGGCTGTTGCTTTTTTTTTTTTTTTTTTTTTTTTTGAGACGGAGTCTCGCTCTGTCACCCAGGCTGGAGTGCAGTGGCACGATCTCCGCTCACTGCAAGCTCCACCACGTCCTGGGTTCATGCCATTCTCCTGCCTCAGCCTCCCTAGAAGCTGGGACTACAGGTGCCCGCCACCTCGCCCGGCTAGTTTTTTTGTATTTTCAGTAGAGACGGGGTTTCACTGTGTTCGCCAGGATGGTCTCCATCTCCTGACCTCGTGATCCGCCCGCCTTGGCCTCCCAAAGTGCTGGGATTACAGGTGTGAGCCACCGCATCCGGCCACTGGCTGTTGCTTTGTGTGTGGTTTTGGAAGTGGCTGCACACACAGCTACATCTCTCCTGGCCTGTGCGCGGGCTTGGGGGTCTGCCCTTATGCCCACCTTTGTCCTGATGGGTCTTCTGATGCTGTCCTTGGTGTGTCCCGTGATTCTTAGATCTGCAGTCTGAGGGTGCACAGGCTTCCCTGGGTGATTTCAGTTCTTCACGTGTCCATTAGTGGACAAAAATGCACTGAAATATTTGCTAGTCTTCAATTTTTGACTTTTTGTCGTTGGAAGAGTTGGTGAAGATTAATGACGCTGTCCCACTGTATGTCAGCCTTGGCTGCCCCTCCCTGGAGAGTGACTGCTCGGGCATCCCCCAAGGGTGCTGGGCTCAACTCAGTCTCACCGGGGGAGAAATACGTCTGCTGGAGAGGCAGGCTGGAACTCGAGACGCTGTAAGACCCGCAGCTCCATCCATTGGACACTATTGGCAGAACACCTCCCATGTGGTGCGGTGCTGGGTTCGTGGTGCGGTGCTGGGTTCGTGGTGCGGTGCTGGGTTCGTGGTGCCGTGCTGGGTTCGTGGTGCGGTGCTGGGTTCGTGGTGCCGTGCTGGGTTCGTGGTGCCGTGCTGGGTTTGTGGTGCAGTGCTGGGTTTGTGGTGCGGTGCTGGGTTCGTGGTGCAGTGCTGGGTTCGTGGTGCCGTGCTGGGCTCGTGACATGCCAGGAGCAAAAACAGACACAATTTCTTAAACAATGAGTGACAGATACCATGCCAGAAAAGAGCAAAGAGCTGTGGAAAAGGATAACTGGGGTGGGACAGGACCTCATGGTGCAGGTTGGGTTCTAAGGGTACCTGTCTGTATCCATCCATCTGACCAAAGTTGCCAGAACTGCCAGCCTCAGCGGAATGTGAGACTCAGATATGATCTGATGGTGGAACATGGTGTGAGAGTCACCTGTTGGTGTAAGAATCAGGAGGTGTGGTTCCAGAACTTGCTGGGTGTCTTTGTGCCGTCACTTGGAATTCAGGTTCTTTGCTTTGCAGTTGCAGATAATGCCAGGCGCTCCTTCTCCAAGCAGGCTTGTTGTGGGGCTCAAAGGCGGTAATGGGTGTGAGGGTCCTTTCAGTCACTTGGTGACACACGGTGTGAGGTCATCGAACTCGAGGGAGGTGGCCGAGGGGATGAGGCTGTAACTGCAGGCGGGGCTGGCAGGCAGTGTGTGAGAATGCTGCTGGCTTGGGTCAGGGGTCAGGGTTGAGGGAAGGAAGCAGGAGTACCTTGGCCTTAGCCAGTAGGGCTGAAGAGATGGGGGTACGGGTGGGGGTGGGGGTGTAGGGCATCCGAGTCAGTGACACCTGCTTCCCCAGCCTGGAAGGGTGGGCCCTGTATCTTGGAGTTCCCAGAGAAGAAGACCCAAAAGGAAGGGGGCCCTGTCTTGTCTGGAGGCCACACCTGTTAGAGAAGAAAGGCCAGCAGTGAGAGCTGGGGGCACGGTGAACAGGGAGAGCAGAAGCAGAGGTAGCAGGAGAGCTACAGACTATGCTCAGGGCTGTGGGGAAGCAGCTTGTTAGATGCTGAGCCCACCAGGCTGCGTGGGGCCTCAGACCTTGCCCACATGGACACCCGGGTCTCAGATCCATACACAGCCATGCAGGCACCAGCCCCTCCTCATCCTCAGAGACGCCACAGCCAGCTGAGCGTACTCCTTTAGAGGGGCTTGCAGGCCTGGCTTGGATCCTGGCCCTTTTACTTACTAACTGTGTGACCTTGGGCAAGTTTAACCTCTCTGATCCTTAGTCTTGTCTTCCATAAAACAGGAATACCACTACTCACATCAGTGTTGTTAGAGTCCAGCAGATGCTATAGGGACAGCTGCCCAGGCAAACCCATCCTATTTCCCATAGCTCCGGCCCCACCACTTCGGGCTGCCAGCATCACAGAAAAGCTCAGGAAGAGTTTAGAGACACCCTTGCTGTCCCCAGTCTCAGACTAGGTTGCACTGGAGGGAGAGGTAGTCCTAAAATAATTCTGCCTCCGGTGGCCTGAGAGTGCTACTCCGCACAGCAGCATCGTCCAAGATAAGCAGGACCTGAGTCATCTAAGCCCTCTGATTCTGGGGAAACAATGTCCTCCCAGAAAACGGAAAACTGTAATCATTTTTCCCCCTTCAAGTTCCATCCGTCCGTCCATCCGTCCATCTGTCCATCCATCCGTCCACCCATCTGTCCGTCTACCCATCCATCCATCCGTCCATTCGTGTGTCCGTCCATCCATCCGTCCATCTGTCCATCCATCCATCCATCCATCCGTCCATCCGTGCGTCCATCCATCCATCCATCCATCCGTCCGTCCATCCGTCCATCTATCCATCCGTCCGTCCATCCATCTGTCCATCTACCCATCCATCCATCCGTCCATTCGTGTGTCCGTCCATCCATCCATCCATCCGTCCGTCCATCCATCCATCCGTCCATCCGTGCGTCCATCCATCCATCCATCCGTCTGTCCGTCCGTCCATCCGTCCATCCTCCATCCAGTAAACACTGAGTGCCTATTCTGAGGCAGAATTGTATTACATGTGAGAGGCAGAAATAAAGAATTATGAAATGAGACCCCTGCCCTATCGATATCCATGGTCAGGGGAACAGTATGCTATAGTGGAACAAGCATAGATTTTTGGAGCCAAGAGGCCCAGCTTCAAATCCCAGCACCATCACTCACTCGTGTGTGGCCTTCGGATAAACCACGTAGCTTCTATTTATTCACCCCAGTTTCCCGTCTGTAAAACGGGGCTGATGATTTTTACATTTCAAAGTTCTTAAGGGGATGAAATGAAGTAACATGTGAAACTCCTCGTCTGAGTTAGATGCTCCGGAGTAAGTCCTATTCCAGGCCCTCCGAAAGTACGCACGGGGTTAGAAGATGAGGGTGGTGAGAACATTCTGTGGTGGCCAGTGGTTCCTGCTGCAGCAAGGGTGATAGATTCATTTAGCTGCACGTCATCGTCACTCTGCACACTCCTCAGTGTGGCAACAGCCCAGTCTCAGCTAGGCTTTCCAGGATGCCTACCTTTTGCAAAGGTGAGAGTCTCTGGCCTCCAGGAGTTTACTAACTGGTCTGAATACTAAGTGGGTGTTGGAGGCTAGGAGAACTTGAGTAAGGAAAGACTCAACATTAAGATGGTGGGACTAAGGCCAGAGGTGGTCAGATAAAAACAGGGAGGGACTAGGTAGCTCTTTTGGGGGCAAGTCAAACTGCACTCCCCGGGCCAGGTCAACCAGGCAGCTGTTCTCTGACAAGGTGAAGGAGAGGTGACAGGACTGCTGGGCTGTTGCTGTTCGTCCTTGCAGAAAGCATGTCACACCGTAGGAGCCAAATATAATTTTTGAGGGAACCGACAGGGAAATTCACCCTTGTGGTTTGCCGGATCCTCTCCCCTCTTTCTCCTTTTTTTGGAGAGGCTCATGTTTTGTTCTGGAGTAGCTACAGCTAGGTGATCGCACGGACTTTGATGTCCCCTCTGCAATAGCTCTGTGGTCAATCCACGGTGGACCTGACACGCAGGGACAGGCTACACCTGAGCACCGGCGTGGCTCAAGTATGGATTCTTGCTGGGCCACGTCCTACTGTGCCACGGCTGACCCCCAGCCCGGCTTCTGGTTTCGTAGAGGCGATGGGTCTGAGAGCTGAGACCTGCTCTGCCTTCCTCATCATGTGAAACCCCACAGGAGATGCTGAGAGGGGACTGAGAGACACACAGTGGGGGTGCTTGATGGAAAACTACAGACTGAGATTCTCACTTCACACCCCACCCCTGCTGAGAAGTTCTAAAGTACAAAGAGGAAGCACATGTAAAAGGAATTTTCCCTTTCTCCCCACAACTTCCTCTCCCTTCATACCACCTAGAGCTGAAGAAGCATCTCCTTTGCTTGAAGGAGGCACCAGCTATTCTGAATGAAGGGCAGTGGGACGGTGCCGTACCCAGCACAGCTGGACGTGCTCAGGGACAGTGACGAGGACACTGTTCTGGAGGAACTCACTGGGTGCACGGCATAAGGCACATGTATTCAAAAATACCCTTCCCCACTGATAGCTGCCAGGCCACTCCAGACAACTTCTAGGTAGGTGCCTGGTGCTGTGCAGTGACCAGAGGTGCCTGGGAGCAGATACCCCACTGTCCCAGCCTCTGCTTCCAGGGACCCACACCCCCCCGAAGCACCTATGATATCCCAGCACCCTCACAGCAGCCCCGCAAAGTCGATATTGTGTTGTTACCTACGTTTGACAGACTGGGAAACCGAGGCTGACCCTTGTCTAGCTGTCGTGACTGATACATGACAGAGGAGAAGAAACTCAGGTCTGTCTGGTCCCAAGCCTGGGTCCTGTCTACGTTGCTTCTTGAGATATGCTCTGGGTGCTTTCTCTAGGAAAATCCCAAGGACAGGGGTAGTGGTTGTGAAGGTCCAGGGCCTTGCCTGGAAGCCACAGAGGGCAGGTACTTGGTGGAAAACTCCAGGCTGTGATTCACCCTCCTCCCTTGCCCTCATCAGTGAGGTCACCTCCCCTCCCAAGGTTCTCAGTTTCCAGCCTGGAGTCTCTGGTAAGAGAGGACTGTCCCCTGTGCTGCACATCCCATCTCCTCGTCCCTGGGAAGGAGATGGTTCTGGAGGGGGACAGAGGAAAAGGGGGAAAGGGGAGGGGGAGGGAGAAGGGCAAGGAGCAGGAGGAGGGGAGATGAGGTCAGGGTGTGAGCCTCTGAGCCCCTTCCCCTGCCCAAGGGAGCAGCTCAGCCCAGCTCTGGAGGGGTCATCATGGGACCGTGCCCACTGGGAGGGCACCGGTCTGGAGACAGTGGGTTCACAGTGGGAGTGGGATGGGGGTGGGAACACTGGGGACAGAGGACTTGACTTCCTGAGGTTGGATGTTGTAATCTTGGTTCACAAACTTTTGGCCTCAGTCCCTCCTGTTGCTCCTGGTATTTCTCTGTCCCTTCACTTCCCAACACACACACACACACACACACACACACACACACACACACACACACACAGCTTCTTTCTGTCTGGGAGCCCCTGGACAAGTCCCATGGGATTTTGCACTGGGAGGAACAGCATAAGGCGTGAATGTGGAGGACAGTTTCCCTTTCAGGTCCCAGCTCTCTTGGCTTTCCTGTAAGCGGCCACCTGGAACTCCCCTGGAGACCTGATGCCCGCAGCTGAGCTGACCGCAGGAGCCGGTGCTGGGGACTGAGGTGAGCGGGAAGTGGAGGGGCTGGCTCTGTTTTTGCAGTCTCCACCTGCTGCCCAGAGGGGCTGGAGGGATAGAGCCCTGGGAAGTGAGACTGTGGAACTGTGCGTGTCTGTGGTGGGAGGCAGGACCTGCAGTAACCTCGGGCCAGAGGGCAAGTCTGATGCCCACGACCGACTCTCAGGACAAGGGGTGCCCCCTAGCTCCGCCCCATCCAGCGTGGGAGCGGCTCAGGGATTAGCCTGTGGAACTGGAAAGTCCACCGATGGGGAGCTGGTCACGGCAGTGGGTGAAAGCAGGGGTGGTCATCAGGCGAGGGGACGGGAAGCAGATGGTGTCCATCGAGGTGGAAGGAACAGTGGAGAGGAGAAACCTCAGGGCATTCCTGAGGGCCCAGGAACTGCAATAAATGATCACAGGTGAGGGGCTCCTGTCGTCTGCCTCCTGGCTGAGCATAACGAGCTGGGTGCCCGGCGTCTCCCAGGAGGAAGCTGTCTTGGCTTTGGGTGGTGGGCGGCATGGGTGTGCTTGTGCCCGAGGCGGGCACTCACGGGAGTTGCGGGCAGCCACCGACTGAGACAAGCAGCTCACAGGGTGTGAAGGATTGCAGAGGGAGCTAGGTTTCGGTCATGCACACAGGTATGTGTGTGCGAAGGGACGTGACGGGAAATGGCACCAGTGTGTGTACGCGAATGGGTGTTGGTATGTGGGTGTAGGCTGAAGCAGGGGCTGGGTCCCATCCCCCATGTGCAAGCGCTGAGCTGCTCCTGTGCTGGACTGGGGAGCAAAGGGGACAGAGCTGGGACGCCAGCGGTACATGGGCAGCAGCGTTTCTGGTCTTTGCTTCTCTGCGAGCCCCAGCTGGGCCTCTGGCTACACGCCCAGCTCCTGAAAACAGAGTTAACTTTGGACTTTCTAGTCTCTTGAAGATTTCCTCTCTGGGCAGCACCAAGCCCGGGGTGGAAATTGTGTTTGCTTCTGAAGGGCACTGAAGTATGATGAGGTCCATTGGCCGTCCCTCACCCCTGCTGCAGCTTAGCAAAGCAGGTGGGCGGCCTTGGGAGGAGACGCGAGGGGCTGGGGAGGCAGCCAGCTGAAGCTGGAGGTGGAACGCACAGCGGGGGTGGGGTGCACCTTTTAAAAGCAGCCAGAAAGGAGAACTCAGTACAGCTTGTTTTGGTGTCCAGCATCCTCTGGGCCATTTCTTCCCTGAGTCTGACTTAAATCCGTCTTGCTGCAGTTCAAGCCTGTTTCCCCCTAAGTTACCATGGCTCAGGGCCGGTTGTCCTTTTCACTTGCTCTTGCTTTCATTCTGCCATTCTGGATTTTCATTCTTAACCACAAGTTATGCTCCTCCCAATTACATTTTTATTTTTTAAAAAATCATGTGTCAGTGTCAGTTCATCAGCTCCTGTTCTCTTTTCTCTCTTCCCCTATTTCTGATAAAACTCAAATCCTGGGCCCACACGGGATTCTGTGATTTGCTTCCCTGCCCCTGCTCCCCTCCGGCTTTTCCTTCATTTACTCCTTTTCCCCAACAAGACTCCACTCCCCCAACTCTGGAGACCACCTTGGTCCTGCGATCGCTGCCTCTGGTCTGGGAACAGTCAGGCTCAGTTCTGACCACCGCCCCAGGGGTCCTTGTGTTTGGAGCTCACCCTATGGCCGGCGAGCAGAGACTGTTGGTTCTCCTTCTCTTTATTGAGTCGTGTTTTTATCCCTTCGCCCTCTGAAAACCCTGCTGAGCAGCGGTCATTCTCTCTTCCAGGGAGACTTAGGGTTCAGAGAGGAGGTGTGATTGGCCTGAGGTCACACAGCAAGTTAGAGACCCAGCTCCACGACTCACTGTCTTGGTAAGTTTATTCTAGCATTCCAGAATGGTGTCCCCGAGGCCCCGCAGGCGCCAGGCACTGTTCCTTAATCTCTCGGAGCTTCACTTTCTCATACATGAAGTAGAGCTAATAGTAATGCCTAACTTCAAAGATTCTTATGAGGGCGCACCTCAGTCACACAAAGAGTGCCTGTTGTGAACACGGGGCTCACTCAGGTGTCAGCCTGTTGTTGTTATTAACAGCTAGATCTGGATTAGAACTTGGGTTTCCCGTCTGGTGCTTTCTCATGAATGTTTTCAAGCTCGTTCGCTAGTTTGTTCATTTGTTTGGGGATGAGTCCAGGGTCATTTCTCAGGGTGCCTCGGTCCTAATTCTGTAGCAACATCGACATTTGGGTTCAGATGGTACCAACTTCTCCCCTGGGCCTAACTCCCGGTTTGTTCTCCCAAGGCTCTAGTGCTCAAAGCCCCCATGGGTCTGATCACATACTCCGGACGGACCCAGAAGCTCTCTTCCCCCGGCTCCCCTGCCTTCTCCCTTATATCAGAGACTCAGGACCTTTGATTTCCACTGGGTGTCTCTCCTCATCCTCCCTCCTGGGCTGCAGGGGAAGCCTCCAAGTAGGTCCCAAACCAGAATTTCACTCTGACACGCTTTCCCGTTCCTGGCACCCTCCAAGTCACCTTCAGAAATTTCCATAGCCTCAAATGGCTCCTGCCCACGCCTTTCTAACTGACTTGGGCTTGGGCTGTTGCCTGGGTTAAAAGGACCAACAAATAAACACAGACTCTTCCTTAATAAAAAGAACCCCTGTGTTTCTCCAGAGCCTTGGAGGAGCGCAGAGCACTCAGTAGACCTGGTCACTTGATTCCCTCAATACCCCTCCGAGGTGAGGGGCTGTGGGATGGGTGCTCCCCTCTGCATTCTGGGGCACCTCCTCTTGGCAATTCCCTGGGCATAAAGGCAGAGGTGGCCTCAGGGTAATTGTTTGTGTGTGTGAGAGGGAGGAGAAGGTAAACACAGACGAGATACACCCTGACAGAACCGGATTTATCTCCTGGCAGTTGACAAGCAGGCCAAGGGCCAGAGAGTGGAACTGAGAATGGCCCGTGTCATTTTTTCTGGAGGTCTAGGGTACTTTGGGCTCTCTAGGAGGTCAGGGAGAAGGAAGGGCAGTGACCCGCCGCGATGGCAGCCACTGCTGGGCCTCCCTCTTGAAGAGCCAGTCATTTGGTCACCTTGGGGGTCATCTGGAGATGATTATCAGCCGAGCAAGAACTGGTCTGCTGATCCCTTTTGGCACCAGGGCCCCCCGGTTTTTCTCAGGACAGAGATGCAACAGAGAGAAGAGGAGCTGGGGCTCCCTTGAAGGCTTACACGTGCCCCTGGTGCCAATCCTTGTTGTCTTCTGGCCTTGTTCAGAGGCCCCACCTTCTCTTTTCCTCCCAATCAGCTGCCCAGAGCTGCTGGCTCCCCTGTTTACTCCGCGTTGATCAATCACCTTCGCACACAGCTGGCTAGGAGAGAACCATGTGGTCACTCTGGCCACACCTGCCCTTTGACACTTGCTACCTCGGCAGCCTTGATCCCTTCTGGCCTGGAGGCCAGGGGCTAGGCTGAGGTCACTCAGCAGACATCAAGGACCTGGGCAGATGGGCCGGCTGGGATGGCGGCGAGCTGTGCCAATAAAAAGGGACATGAAAAGAAAAAGCTCGAGGCTGGGTTTTCGTCCCAGTTCTACTCCGGAGTGGTCTTGGGCAAATCACTTCATCTGTCAAGGCCTGGATTTCCTCATCTGCAAACTCAGAAACTAAGATTTGCTTTTTATTTGCTCTGAGAGTGATGAGAACGAAGCGTAACCTTAGGTGTGAACGCCATGAGCACTTGGGAAGAGCAGCGATACGCTGACAGCAGAGGTCAGGACGGCAAAGCAGGGCTGGCGGGAGCCTGTCGGGTTTTACAGCTGGTTTCTTCTCTTCCCACCAGGCTTTGGCCCTCGTCATCCTGCCCACCCAGCGGGGCCTCCCAATCCGCCACACGGGCATGGACGGGAAAGTGGCAGTGCACGAGCACGGGCCTCCTGCGGTCTCCTGGGTCCCCGAGGAGGCAGAGAAGTTGGACCAGGAAGACGAGGACCAGGTGAAGGATCGGGGCCAATGGAACAACAAGATGGAGTTTGTGCTGTCAGTGGCCGGGGAGATCATTGGGCTGGGCAACGTCTGGAGGTTTCCCTATCTCTGCTACAAAAACGGAGGTGGTGAGTTCACTTGGAGGTAGGCATGGTGGGGAGAGCTGTGCCCGGGCAGCTGGGCAGTGTCTACCTGGGCCCTCCTTCCTGGGCAGTGTGGTTTATAAAAGGAGGGCTATTTTGGAATCGGAGGACTTGAGTTTGAGTTCCAGCTCCACCATTAGCCTCAGCGTCCCCTCCGTGAAATGGGGACAGTACCTCCCAGGGCGACGGTGAGGATGAAATTAGGCCACGGGCAGGACCAAGAAATTCTAGTTTTTAGCAAGCTCCTTCATGACTATGTAAAGGTCAGTTGTTGATAGAATTCAGCCATTCATTCAGCGAACATGACTGCAGGCCTGTGACGTGCCAGACCCGGCACTAGGTGCAAACAGAACACATTCCATGTGCTACACTCCGTGGAAGGGTTCTGGGGAGCGGTGCTGTGTCCGCGGCAGGCTGCGGACAAACAGTGCAGCACGGTCCATGTCAAATGGTGACGCGTGGAGGGGTGAGGCGTGATGCAGGGAAGACGGATAGGGAATGCTAGGCGTGCAGAGGGGAAGCGGACAGTTCAGCAGACTTGAAGGAAGTGAAGGTGTGAGTGTCATGGGTGTATCCTGGATGGAGAACACGCCCGACACGGGTCCTGGGACTGGAAGCAGCAGGCCTGTCTGAGGAGCAGTGAGGAGGCAGGTGTGGCTGGGGCGGAATGAGAGAGGGAGAGAAGAATGGGGTGAGGTCAGAGAGGTAACAGGGTCACTCAGGCTCTGTTCTGAGTGAGATAGGAGCCACCGAAGCAATTTTGGTTGGAGAAATACCTTGCCTTTGAGTTTTTTTTCCAAATTAGAGACACATGATTTTATTGTTTTTCAGCCCTGGATGTAAAAGTTAGCAGTGGTGGGGAGGGGCCCGATTCCTTTTTCTAAGTGTACAGTTCGGTGGTTTTTAGTCATAGGATTGTGCAACCGTCGCCACAATCACTTTTAGAACATTTTCATCATCCCCAAAAGAAATCCTATATTCATCAGCCGTCGCTCCTCATTCCCTCTCCCAGCCATCCCTTGGCAACCGCTCGTGTGCTGCCGGTCTCTGTGGATCCCTGTTAGGGCTATTTCATAGGAATAGAGTCGTTCAATGGGCAGTCCTTTGTGAGTGGTCAGATTCGTTTTATTTTTACCTCTTGAAATCACTTTTATTCTTCTTGTGGAAAAGGTATATGTTTATTGCAAACATTAGAAACATTTCAGGAAGGTAGAAAGAATACTCACATTAGAGATAACCGTTGTTGAGAAAATCCTCCTAACCACTATTTATATTAAATCTGACCAATATTTACGGAGTGTCTACTACGTATCTTGCTATGTGTTTTAAAGCTTATAGTTATGATCACAAGCTGCTTGAATTGACAACTCCTAAGAAAAAGCAGTAGGATTTCTCGGACTGGCTCGGTCTCTAGCGCTGAGGCTGGGAGGGCAGGCTGACCCTGGGCCAGAAAGTCAGGGGAAGGAGGATGAAGGGGCAGGGTGCTGGTTTCCTTCTTCATCCAGGGCCACCATCTCATGGCATATAGGATGTCAGGGTTGGAGGTGGAGGTGGCCCAGGCTAAGCCCTCCTTTGGTGGAGGAGGATTTGCCCAGGACCTCAGAGGGCCCTGGAGCCAGGCTGGCTGCTTCCTGCGTCATGGCACACTCCTCACCCAGCTATCCGGGAGGGAGAGAGCACTAGGGCCTGGGAGGTGGGGCCGCGGCGTCCGGCGCTCACCCTGACTCTGTCCTGCCACTGGCTTCTGCTGTGGCTGCGGCCTCTGTCCTGGCCGTGGGGCGGGGTCCATACAGAGAGATAAGTACCCCCAGTAACATCATGGAATGTCGGATCCGGGTGACCCTCGTCCCAGCCTAACTCTTGGGAAAGACACCCTTTCTTTCATCTTTAAGACGAGGGGGCCCAAATGAAGTTGGGGTCCCAATCTGGAGTCCCTCGTCCTTGGGGTTCTAGGAATGTAGTAAAGAAGGACCAGGAATTCATTTTCTCATTACCAACAACCTAATGATGGATGGATGTGGGAACAGGACGTCTCAGACTAGTCCAAATGTCTTTTATTTTTTGCTGTAGACTGAACTGTACTAACTCATAGTGATAATAAAGTTTATCTCAAGCTGATCGTAAGGCCTGATTGGCAGTTAATTATGATTTTTATTAATATATGCAGGGAAATTTATTGATTATTAATTAGTAAACATAGTTCTATAGAGAAAAATCTTTCAAAAGAAACAAAAAGAGTAATAAAATTATTGGTCTAATGAGGTCTTTGGTTATGAAAAAGAGAGGAGCCCCTGAATTAGATCATCCTTAAGAAATCATTCCCCTCAAAAGAGAACTTTAGGAAACTCCCATTATCTGGGTTGTGAGTGGTTCGGGAACGAGCACGCAGCGGAGGTAAGGCACACCTTAGAGGTGTTTAAACCAACCATGGGCTTCTGGACACCCTGTCTGACATCATTGGACTGCCTGTGCCCACAGCCTGGGCTGACACCAAGGAGACATGAACCAGGGTAACCTTCCAAAGCAAGGCACTGATCAGATAATTTGAGGGGAGGGTGTTGGCAGCGTTAGCGTTCTAGAAACCCAAGGGTAGAGGACGCCCTAGACGCGATCCAGAACCAATCTTTCATCTGCCCCGAAGGTCCAGACTTGGTGCCGCCCTTTCAGGGAGGACCCAGTCTGAGGGGGGTCCAGCTCCAGGCCTCCTGAGGTCACCCCATCTTCTGTGGGGCAGAAGTCCACACTCCCAGGTGAGAACTGAAGCCACTTCTTTTATCAGAAGGAAGGACCTCCTCCACACAACAGGTGGGAGGGAGGGAGTCCCGTGGGCCACATGCCCTGACAGACATCCTGTAAAGCGCCTTCTGGGCAAGCCTCAGGCCATGTCCCTCTACTGCACGCTACCCCTCAGCCTAGGTCCTGGGACTTCCCAAGCCACTGAAACCTGGGTCAGTGGTGTTACTGGCACTGTGTTGACCAACACTCTAGTATTCCTAGGGTTGGAAAGGCAAACATAGGGTTCAAAGGGACTTTGGAACTCAGTGGAGAGTTACTGGCTTGTGGCTCTCCAGGATCCAGAAGTCACAACCTTTTCCTTCTCTCACATATTGGTATCAGGAATCTGACAGATGGGTGCAAGAGTTTTGGAGAACAATTTGGAAATGCATGTTTAAAAAAACGTGCATCCCCCAAAGGTATGGAAACCGCCCAAATGTCCACGAACAGATGAATGAATAAACAGAATGTGGTAGGTTCCCGCAAGTGAATATTACGTAGCCTTCAAAAAGAAGGGAATTCATGCTATGACCTGGATGAATCTTGGAGGCATGCATGCTGAGTGAAACAAGCCAGGCACGAAGAGATAAGCACTGCATGATTACACGTTCATGAGGTACCTAGAATAGGCAAATGCATAGAAACAGCAAGTAGAATCACGGTTGCCAGGGGCTGGGGAGAGAGGGGAACGGGGAGTTGGGGTTTAATGTGTACAGAGTCTCAGTCCGGGATGATGAAAAAGCTCTGGAGATGGATGTGGTGATGGTTGCACAACATTGCGAATATACTTAATACCACTGAACTGTACACTTAAGAACAGTTAAAGTGACTTGTGTATATTTTATCATACACACACACAAACCAAAAAAAAAAAAAAAGTGCATACCTTTTGACTCAGGAGTTCCTCTACTGGTAATTTGTACTAAGGAGTGAATTAGACAAGCACACGAGGATGTGGACAGCGGTCTTCGTTATGACAACGTTTCGGATGAAATGACCAAAAGTCCAATGACAACATACTGGCGAAGTGCACTAGGGTAGATACACAGAGTGGAACACTATGCAGCAATCAAAATGATGAGATAGATATGTATTTATTGCCATGAAGAGGTTTATGGTAAAAATGTAAAAAGTGGTTATCAAATAATGTATTTGATACATGCTTACTTCTCATTTTTGCAAAAAAGAAATACGGTGTGTGCTTTTAAGAAATCTGGAAGGGGCCGGGCACAGTGGCTCAAGCCTGTAATCCCAGCACTTTGGGAGGCCGAGATGGGCAGATCACAAGGTCAGGAGATCGAGACCATCCTGGCTAACATGGTGAAACCCCGTCTCTACTAAAAAAAAAAAAAAAACAAAAAAACTAGCCAGGCGAGGTGGTGGGCGCCTGTAGTCCCAGCTACTCGGGAGGCTGAGGCAGGAGAACGGCGTAAACCCGGGAGGCGGAGCTTGCAGTGAGCTGAGATCCAGCCACTGCACTCCAGCCTGGGTGACAGAGCGAGACTCCGCCTCAAAAAAAAAAAAAAAAAAAAAAAAGAAATCTGGAAGGATATACAATGCTTTTTCCTTTCTTTCCCTCTGTACTTTCTATGTTTTCTACATAATAATATGGATATGAAGTATCAGAGGTATATAGTGTAGTGATTAAGAGCTCAGCCTCAGGACTAGACCGCCTGGGTTTGTGCCTCAGTTTCCTCATTCGTGCTTTGGTTTTTCCATCTTTAAAGTGACCTCAGTTTTATTATCTGCAAAATGGGGATAACAGTAGGGCCTGCCCCATGGGAGGTTGTTTTGCAAGGACTGCGATGTTGATGAAGCATGTATGAGAGTGCCTAACATGAAGTCAGCACCAAGTAAGCACTCAGTGTTCTCATGGTGTAACAAACAATAATCCATTCATCCTGAGATGAACTTCTGACGCGAGGTTTATGCCTTAGTGACTCCTACCGAGGTGGGTCTCCTGGGCTTGCTGTTGTCTTCAGATTCCATTCCTGTGTAACCTGCTGGATGTCTGTTAGGCCTGGCCTCCCTCTGGCACCTGCAGGTTGGCACCTAATCACATCATGGCCTTCTCTGCTGGGAGCCCCGTTCAGATCAGAACTGGGTGGAGGCAACAAACACCCTGAAAATTATTAGTGGGAAAACAATGCTTCCCAGGTGTTTGTTTTTCTCTAAAATGTACCAGAAGTTTAATAAGCATAACAAGTTATACAGAAGCCATGTGTTCATTCCAAAAATAATCTAGACTAGATTTGTAAAGTACACTAAGAAAATAAATAGTATATATATTAGAATTTCCACCTAAGTTTTCGTTAATTTCCCTTCCAAGGTCTTTCTCATTCTGTGTAGGGCTCAGATCAGAACATTCCCACCTGCACCTGCCTAACACTCAGGAGGGCAGGCAGACAGGAGGAAGCCGACTGGGGTCCCTGGGAGGTGTCAGGAGGGAGATTAAGAACAGGATGGTGGAGGGTAGGTTTGTTGGGGAGGGGGGTCTGAAAGGATCCAGGCTGAGGAAGAGCCTGGGTGTGGCTCAGCCCTGCCTCTCTCTTTTCTGCAGGAGCCTTCTTCATCCCTTACTTCATCTTCTTCTTTGTCTGCGGCATCCCTGTGTTCTTTCTGGAGGTAGCGCTGGGCCAATACACCAGCCAAGGGAGTGTCACAGCCTGGAGGAAGATCTGCCCCCTCTTCCAGGGTATGTATCCTCCCCCACCTTCCTATTCATGGGCCCTCCACCTTGCCTGCATCCCCCCATTGTCTCTCCCTTCCTACCCACCCACTGCCTCACTCATCCGCTCACTCCCATCCTGCACCAAGTGCAGAATCAGGATCAGGCTTCATGGGCGGGTTGGAGAGAGGTGAGCCTGGTGGGGAAACACTGGCTCCCCAGCAAGCTGGGACTCTTACCACTGATTAGGGGGAGGTGGGGGAGGCCAGTTTGGTGCTGATGCCTTTCGGGGCAACCATGGGACCCCTGCAGGGGCAGAAGTGAGGGGCTGGAACCGAGTGAAGCTTGGCTTACTGTGGTTCTACTCACAGGTGCTGGGTGCTCCAGGGGTGCTGGGCCTCAGCCAGAACAGGTTCCCCCTGTTCTCCCTCCATCCCAGCAGCAGTAAATGTCCCACTCAGCGGGGTCCTATGCCTAGGTCCAAGCACGCTCAGGGACAGCACGCGCAGGGCTGGCCTCTCCGGAACACACAGAGCTTATGCGGGTGCCACGGTCAGGGTGAGCAAACGGAGCACTGGAATGCAAGAGAAGGAGATATCTTGGCTCTTTCCTTCTTTTCCAAGTGAGAGAGGCGCCAAGGCCGGGATCTCAGCGGGAGGTGCGTGCGCCCGTGCTCTGCTGGTGGGAGTCCGGGCTGCGCCACCCGCCCTCTGCCGGCCGCAGCGCCCACCGCACTCCCCTCCCCGGGGACGGCGCGTTCAGGCTCGGGGCTCGTCCTGCGCTCACACGCCCCCCCGCCACGGCCGCAGGGGGCCGGCTTCTCCCACTCCCCTCTCCCGGGTTCAGGCTCGGGGCTCGTCCTGCGCTCACACGCCCCGCCACGGCCGCACGGGGGCCGCTTCTCCACCCAGCGTCACTCCTGCTCTCTCGGAGATGGGGGCCGCCCTGCCCCTCTCCAGCTGGCCCCAGCAGAATCGCCGACCCGCGGGTCCGCTGAGTTCACGGGGCTGACCCAGGGCTGCGGGATGGGCCGGACGGCCGAGGGCACAGCGCGTTCCGCCTCGGCACAGTGGCCGCTTGTTTGTGTGTCTGTGTGTTTGTGTGTGTGTGTGTGTGTGGGTGGGTGTCTGTGTGCGCGCTCTCAGCGCCCCGCCCGCTCCCCGGGGACCCTCTGCCATCGGCGGGTCCCCTCCTGCGCAGCGCCGCGCCCACCCCCGCGGGGCCGCCCCGGAACCCGTCCTCGCCACGGTGGGCTCGCCTGGCCCCAGAGGAGTGGTTTTGTTCATAGTCAGCATTGATTTTTCAGCCAGGCTGTTCTGAAAGGTCCACAGTCCTTCATTAAGTAGTGAGCACTTCGGGAGGCTGAGGCAGGAGGATCGCCTGACCCCAGGAGTTCGAGACCAGCCTGGGCAGCATAGCGAGACCCACCCCTTCTCCTGTCTCTACACAAAAATTTAAAAATTAGCCGGGTCTGTCTGTGGTCTCAGCTACACTGGAGGCTCAGATGGGAGGATCGCTTGAACCCAGGAGTTGGAGGCTGTAGTGAGCCAAGATCACACCACTGAGCCCTAGCCTGGACCCCCCACCCTCTCTCTCTCTCTCTCTCACACACACACACACACACACACACACACACACACACACACACAAAGTTACTGAGCATCGACTAAAGACAGAGAGAGAGCTAACCCAGCAGGAAAGGGGCGGGGGTTATCTCACAGGGGAAACCGGGCTCCAGCCCTTCTCCGCAGGACTCCTGAGCCACCTGGCAACATGTTGCTTTTAAAATGACTGTGGAAAAGATTCCACTTTGTAGACAGGGGTGCTGGGGAGGTGTGTGTAAGCCCTCCCTCTCCGCCCCCTCCTTCCCCAAATATGCTGCCAGGAGACCAAGTGCATCCAGCTACACAAGGCTTCAGGACAAGCGTTAAAATAGCAGCGAGGTCTCCACCTTTGCTGGCGGTCTTGCTGCTGGCTGAGATGGCGCTAGGTGCTGACTCAGGCTCCTAAGTTCCTGACACAGGGACCATTTCTCCCTTCCTCTCTGGTTTCTTTCTTTTGCTCTTATCCTGAGACCCCACTGTCACCCAGGCTGGAGTGCAGTGGCATGATCTCGGCTCACTGCAACCTCTGCCTCCCGGGGTCAAGGGATTCTTGTGGCTCAGCCACCCAAGTAGCTGGGATTACAGGCATGTGCCACCACACCTGGCTAATTTTTTTATTTTTAGTAGAGGTTGGGTTTCACCATGTTGGCCAGGCTGGTCTCAAACTCCTGACCTCAAGTGACTCACCCGCCTTGGCCTCCCAAAGTGCTAGGATTATAGGTGCGAGACACATTCTTACCAAATTTTCCTACTTACTCCTTCCTTCTTCTGGCCCCTTTTCATTTTCCAACCAATACATGGTTGTTGTAGAAAAACTAGAAAATGCAGATAGCCAAAAAACAAAACAAAACAAAACAAAAAAACCCAGACACTTGAAAATGTTATCTGAAATCCTACCACCTAGAGAATAACTTGTTAACTTTCGGGTGAAGATCTTTCCAGAGCTTTTCCCATGAAAAAAAAATATATATATGTTCAAATATATATTACAAAAATGGGGAAATGCATAGGGTAATGTCCTGTAACCTGCATTTCTTCCTTAGAAAAATACGCTGTGGGCCGGGTGCGGTGGCTCACGCCTGTAGTCTGAGGGACCAGGACTCCCAACCATTGCCGTCTGCTGTCCCTTGCATCACACCCACGGGCTCCTGCCCAAAGTTACATCCCCTGCCCAAAGTTCTTACTTCCTCTGCTAGGACACAGGTTATGCGCCTGTAATCCCAGCACTTTGGGAGGTCAGGAGTTCAAGACCAGCCTGGCCAACATGGTGAAACCCCGTCTCTACTAAAAATACAAAAACTAGTTGGGTGTGGTGGTGGCACATGCCTGTAATCCCAGCTACTCAGGAGGCTGGGGCAGGAGAATTGCTTGAACCAGGGAGGTGGAGGTTCCAGTGAGCCGAGACCATGTCACTGCACTCCAGCCTGGGCAACAGAACAAGACTCCATCTCAAGAAAAAAAAAAAAAAAAAAAGAAAAAAAGAAAAAAGAAAGAAAACTATGCTGTGAATGGCTTCTCATGCCACTGGATAAACCCAGTGGTTCTCTTTGTGTAGCACCCAATACCCTTGTAACCTCAACTGGCAGCTTTTGTGTGACTGTTTTGCTAATGTTGATCTCTCTTGTCCCTCCCCACCTCTCCCGCACCCTGGAAGGCGTTGGGCTGGCGTCTGTGGTCATTGAGTTATATTTGAATATCTACTACATCATCATCCTTGCCTGGGCCCTCTTCTACCTGTTCAGCTCCTTCACCTCTGAGCTGCCTTGGACGACCTGCAGCAACGTTTGGAACACGGGTATCCATCATTTCAGCCTCTGGGATGTTGCCTGATAGGGGCTGGGCTGTGGCGGCTGGTGATGTCCAAGCAGCGATGGGGTGGATAGCGGAACTTGCCTCACAGCCAAGCCATGTGGGCTCCGGGGCCAGCTCTGCTCCTTGGCTCTCCTGGAGCCCTCAGGCCAGCCACTAGGACAAGTCAGTGTGGTTGGGAGAACCCAAAGGGAGTGTATTAAACAACTGCAAGGGTTATCGCCACTTACTCATTCGTGCACTTGGCAAGCACTGACTGGACACCTACTGTGTGCTAAACATGGTGCCAAGGGCTGGAGGTGGGTACAAGGCTGAGCAAAAGCAACAGGGACCCAGCCTTCACTGTGTTTACAGCCTGGTGGTGGAAACAGACAAATAAACACAACCACCACAAACTGTGATAGGTGAACGAAAACTGCAGAAACCATAGAACAAGGGGAGGGAGACGTGTCATCTGAGGCCTGAAGTGAGAAAGCGCCCAGCATGTGAACAGCATTCCAAGCAGGGGGAAGAGCAGGCCCGGGGCCTCAGTCCCTTGGTCTGTCAAGTGGAGAGACAGGAAGTCGGAACGGGCCAGCGGGGAGAATGTGTTCCACACCAGCTGCCCGTGAGAGGTCTGAGTAGATCTGAAGTCTGGACAGTGTCTGAGGTTGGCAGGGCAGCCAGGTAAGCAGCCAGATTCAGAGGGAACAAGAGCAGGGGGAGGAAGAGCTGGCTCTATGAGCCTCCTGATGCTCTGGAGAGTGTGGGCTCCAAAAGAAGCTCTTGGGGCTAGGAGTGGTGAGGACCACTAGGCTGCAAGGCCAGAGGGCCAGGGGCACTAGGGTATGAGGGCCTCTCTCTCCATCTTGTCCCTAACCTTGTCCCCAACAGAGCATTGCGTGGACTTTCTGAACCACTCGGGAGCCGGCACAGTGACCCCATCTGAGAATTTTACCTCACCTGTCATGGAATTCTGGGAGTAGGTGCTGGGCCCATATGCCACATGTGAAGAGGCTCCAAGCAGAAGAAATTTGGATGTCTGAGCTGTGCAAGTCCGAATGTCTGGGGTGCAAGTTTAAGATTCTCTGTGTGCTTTCCAGCGCTTCCTCCCCCGCCCCACTCCAACCCCACACGTCGATGAGGCAGGGGAGAACGCTCTCACATCTACCCACCTGGGTTGGCGTAGACTCACATTTCTCCATCATGTCCACCTTCACCCCCACATCCCTACCTCCACGCGTATGTCGGCCCATACATGTCCGGTGGGGTGCTGGACACAGTCTTCACAGCCTTAGGCGAGCTGAGTGTGCATCTCTCTCCCCAGTGCCATGCTTGGTGGCATCATGCTGGTAGCTTGAAATCGCCCAAGGCGGGAGTGAGCACATCAAGACCTGGGCATACCCTCCGCTCACATACTCACCCTCTCACATGACAACTTACACCTTCACATTACCCGTGCCCACACTCGTCCACCTACGTTCCCACGCAAGGCTGCCTGTACTCACACTGAGCTCACCCCCACGTGGGCACCACTGCCCTCACACATGAATGCGTTCGCAGTGCCGACCCCTCACACCCACGCACGCAGTTCCAGCACCCCATCACATGTTTAGACACTAACACACATTCCGCCCCTCCATGGGAACCCATGCCACTGGCCCATCAACCTGCATGTATAAATATTTACTCGCTAAACGCTCATGTGTACATTCCTCATCTCTCTCTCTTTCTCTCTCTCTCTCTCTCTCTCTCTCTCCATCTTTCTGTACAAGAAAAAAAAATCTGGATGAGTTAGAAAGACAAAGATACGTATGGGATGATGGTAGAAGTTTGGTCTACGGGAACATGGCATGACTGTGGGGGAGGCAGGGGGTCGGGGAAGCCCTGGAATATGAGATCCATGGGGTCAGCTCTGAGAATCTGAGCATCAGGAGACTTGCCAACTGTTGCAAACTGCCCCCTTTAGCCTTTCCCCTCGTTACTTATGTTTCCCAATCCTCCAGGAGACGAGTTCTGAGCATCACCTCGGGCATCCATGACCTGGGCGCCCTGCGCTGGGAGCTGGCCCTGTGCCTCCTGCTCGCCTGGGTCATCTGCTATTTCTGCATCTGGAAGGGGGTCAAGTCCACAGGCAAGGTGAGGTGTTCTGCCTCCTGGGAAGCTCCCTGTGGCCCCCAGAGCTTTCGGGGACACTTGAGGGGGACCCTCTGGAGAACTGATTTCTTTCTCTTAAGAAACGATGCTTCCTGAGCAGTGCCGGGGAGATGCATGGTGAGAACAGGGGAAGTCACAGGAAGGTGGATCTTAGCTCTCTGCAAGGAAAATCTTTCTTTTTCAATATGGCTTTAAAAATCCGGTTTACATAAGAATATTCAGGGCAAATTCAAAACAGAAAAGTCCCATTGTTGGAGCTAATCGCTGCGCTGCCAGGTTGGCACTGCGAATCCCTGTTCACTTCTGCTGTGTTGCCTTCTGGTTTCTCTCATACGTGTGTGTGTGTGTGTGTGTGTGTGTGTGTGTGTGTATCCATTATGTGTGGCTATGACATCATTAGGGTCACACGCTCTTGTGACTCACTTGTTGTTGTATTTAACACATAGCAAGATAATTTTGAATTTGAATTAGCAAACAGAACTGTCTTTGAGGTGGTGAGTTTCCAGTCATCGAAGGGGTTCCCACCAAGGATGGGCAACGGTGGGCTTGTCATGTAGAGAGAATTCAGATTTGAGCATTATTTCCAACCCAGAGAGCCGGAGACTATGCTTCGTGCCTTTTTAAAGCCAGGAATGCTCGGTAAACAGATTTCTCTGCTTGGCCGTACACTTAGTCTGTTCCCGCAGCAGCCTTTCCCCTCCCTGAATTGTGACAAGTTGGTCATAGTGATGATGAAAGTGGTCACCATAGTGAGAACAGCACAGACAGTGCCACTGCTGCCACCCAGGGAAGGAAGGAGCTGCGTTTGCTGAGTGGCAGCGTAGAACGCCCCGGAGCTCCGGCCACCACTGCTCCCCCAACCATTAGCCTGGAAAAGTACAGTCTAACTTTCCCCACAGATCACTGTGCAAATCTGGTCACCGTTCCCCTGGGTCGCCAGGGGGCAAGGAGAGAACAGCCAGGATAAGGGATTAAGAAAGACCCGATTCTGGACTTTAAATTAGTCTTTGCCTTGATTTTATCATTACACATTATATACATGTATGGAACTACCACTCTTTTTCATAAACATGTACAGATTATGTACATACGTACACGTTGACTAAAAATAAGAGGAAAAAAATGGTCTGGGAAGGTTATGGGCTGGAAGCCTGTACCTGCCTCCCTCCCTGTCTTCCTCCTCCCCTCCCCACCCTTCCCGTGGCGACGTGCGTCTCACAGGATGTGTATCCCCACATCTGTGGGGAGCACGGACCCGTTGGAATGTGTAAAGGGAGGTGTGGAAAGTTTCCCATGCTTTGCCCCTCTTAGCGGTCTCTGAGGCTGGGACTGAGCTCCGTGTGACTCGCACTGCCTGTGGGGCGTGGCTGGAGGGCCACTGCGTCCCCACCAGGAGTGACCTTGGCCTGCCCCCCACCTCCAGGTGGTTTATTTCACAGCCACGTTTCCCTACCTGATGCTTGTCATTCTGCTGGTCCGAGGTGTTACCCTTCCCGGGGCCTACCAGGGCATCATCTATTACTTGAAGCCAGATTTGTTCCGCCTCAAGGACCCTCAGGTATGTACTGTGCCGGGACCACTTCCCCAGATGCCCTCCCCACCCAACCAGGTCTGTATTTTTGAATGTCTTGTATTGCTTTTTCATTGGTTTAAAAGCAGTAGATGCCCACTGGAGAAAAATTAGAAAATATGGAAGAAAGCTATAAAAAAGAAACTAAAAATCTCTTGTAATTCCACCACTCAAATATAACTTTTTTTATTAAAAGAAAATTTTTTTCTTTCTTAGAGACAGGGTCTGGCTCTGTCCCCCAGGCTGGAGTGCAGTGGTGCCATCATAGCTCACTGCAGCCTCAACCTCTTGGGTTCAAGGCATCCTCTCGCCTCAGCCTCCCGAGCAGCTGGGACTACAGGCGTGAGCCATGGTTCCTGGGCATTTTATCTTGATATTTTGATGAAGCAGCTCTTTGTCCCCAGGTCATAGCTGCTTAAGACACTATATATAGAGATCTTAGCTGAATGAGACAAGTGACTCCCAGCTGTGCCCTGCAGATAGGCCTTGGGGGCAGCCATGGTCTGTAGATTCCCCTGAAGAAATTCAAGCCGCACACATGTATTTGGTACTCACTAAGTGCTTACAGAACCAAACCGAAACGGGGCCCCACTGGGGAGGAGATCACCGTGGAGACAGGAGGGCGTACTCATAGAGGCTTGGGATGCAGGAGGGAAGCGCTCAGGGAGCACTGAAGGGCCAGGCTGGTGCTGCAGGATGGGTCTGGATCTCGGGTCACCCTGGCTCTGGGCCCTGGGGGCTTCCTCTACCTCTTTCTTGGGGTTTTGTGTAGGTGTGGATGGATGCGGGCACCCAGATCTTCTTCTCCTTCGCCATCTGCCAGGGGTGCCTGACAGCCCTGGGCAGCTACAACAAGTACCACAACAACTGCTACAAGTGAGAACAGCGTGGGCCGGGGTGGGGCGAAGGAGGGCCGGGGGCCTGGGGGTGGGCTCTGCACAAAGACCCATCATCTCTGGGCTCAGACCTTCCTTATTCATTATAAGTTGTGTCAAATTGACCTGGTGGGTTCAGTTCCCAGACTAAATGTCTTTCTTCCTTTTCTCTCTCACTTCTCTCCTTGTTGTCTGCCACCTGATTTTTGTCTTTTTCTTCTACTGTCTTCTTCCCATGCTCTCTTCCCTTCCTCCCCTCCTCTGTGCCTCCCTTGCCTTCCCCTTCTCTCTCCTCGGTCCCCTGTCACTGTCTTTTGGCCTCTCCTCCTCTCTTTTCCTCACCATTCCTATCTGACCTTGCCCCACTCCCACAGGGACTGCGTCGCCCTCTGCTTCCTGAACAGTGCCACCAGCTTTGTGGCTGGGTTTGTTGTCTTCTCCATCCTGGGCTTCATGTCGCAAGAGCAGGGGGTGCCCATTTCTGAAGTGGCCGAGTCAGGTAGGTGCCACTTTGCTGTCTGGGGCGTGAGGGGAAAGAGAGTCAGAGAACACACTTCTCTCCTGTTGAAAAGCATGAGTCCCAGAAGATGGGCAATATGATTTATTTATGGGTAATAGGATTTAATTTTAGCATCTGGGGCAGTGCTTAGCACAAAGCAGGGCTTCCATTACCATGGGAAAGAGGAGGGGGAGGATGATGGATGCTAGATGGACCAACACTGGATGGATGGATGGATGGATGGAGGGAGGGAGGGAGGGAGGGAGGGATGGATGGAGGGAGGGAGGGAGGGAGGGATGGATGGATGGATGGATGGATGGATGGATAGATGGATGGATGGATGGTTGGATGAACGGTGTGCTTCCCAGGCCTAGAAAGAGAAGAATAGTGGATGGAATCATCCTTTCCTCTTGAAGTGTGTGCACAGGTACACACGCACACAGTGCTTAGAGAGATGCCTCTTCCCCGAGGGCAGCGCATGTCCTGGAGCCCCCCTGACTGTGCTGTGTGCCTGGCAGGTCCTGGACTGGCCTTCATCGCCTTCCCCAAGGCTGTGACTATGATGCCCTTATCCCAGCTGTGGTCCTGCCTGTTCTTTATCATGCTCATATTCCTAGGGCTGGACAGCCAGGTACGTCACTGCCGCCATGGTGACCCTCTTGCCAGCCTCTGCCTGTCCGGGCACTACTTTCCCCTCAGTCCCACTCCCCTGACCATAAACTTGAGGCCCCCTCTGCTGTCCAGGGCTTTTCCTTGGGGCTGGGGGTGTGGCCTCAAGCCTGGAGACCCTCTGGTGTGAATGGGGCTGGGGGTGTGGCCTCAAGCCTGGAGACCCTCTGGTGTGAAGGGGCCACTGGCTGTGTGCTCCCAGGCGTGGGCCTCGGCATGCATGGATGCTTCCTCCCAGATATTCCTTCAGCTCGAGCTGCCCAGCCCCAGCCCCCGAGCCCTGGGGACAGAACATATCCCCCCTCTAACCCTCACTGCTGAGACTCTGTCATGGAGTTGTAGTCAAGGGCGGGGCTGGCTCACCCCCGGGCACCCCCATTTCTTCCCTTTGTGCCACTCCCTGCACCCCTGTGCATCAATGTGGATGAGCCAGGGGAAGTGGAGGCCAGGGCCGGTGGCCACCAGCTTGCCCCACACCCTCTCATCCAGTTCCCCTGCTGGCCCACAGTTTGTCTGTGTGGAGTGCCTGGTGACAGCCTCCATAGACATGTTCCCCAGGCAGCTCCGGAAGAGCGGGCGGCGGGAGCTCCTCATCCTCACCATCGCCGTCACGTGCTACCTGATAGGGCTCTTCATGGTCACCGAGGTGAGCTGGGGCCGGTGGCCTGCAGGCCAGGCTCCCGGGGAGGGAGCCACGGGGGACACTGCTGACCCTTCTTAGAGCCTCATTTTTCTTATCTGCGGATGAGGGGTGTGGACGCCTGCCCTGCGTCTCCACAGTGAGGTTGTACGGACCACACAACCTGCATTTGTGAGGTCTCTTTTGGTTGCAGGTGACAGAAACCAATACAGCTGGCTTAAGCAGAAAGGGGAACGTATTGGGTCAGGTTGCTGAAAACCCTAGAGATATTTGGGTTTCGGCGTGGTCGGATCCATCTGCTCTTGTGACACTGTCAGGAATGCTCCTTGCTCTCCTGGGACTTCACTCAGAGGCAGGTTTTCCTCCTGTGACGTTAGGGACGGATGCTGGGCTTCAGGCTTACCTGTCAGTGTCAGCCACCCCAGGGGGAAGGAGAGGGCCTTTTCCGAGAGTGTGGCAAGTGTCCAGGCTGTGACTCGTATTCAAGCCTGGAGTGGGGAGAGAGGGACAACCCACTCTAAAAGGAACACAGAATGAGGGGGTGTCACTTTCCAGAAGCGGAGATGCTGGGCAGACGAAATGATGTGCGTCCACCACAGTCTCCCAGTGCCCTTGCAGATGTCAGAGGCTATTGTCCCAATGTGATTGGGAGGCCTGAAGGCGGGGCAGGCAGGGCAAACTCCTTTTAGAGGCAAGGAATGGCGTCCCACGGGCCGGGCAGGAGGGCGCCCCACATGGGCATTTCCCATCTCACCGATGGGCGGCGTGTGTTCCATCCCCGCACTGGCCATGCCCCAGCTCCACACTCTCCCCACAGGGTGGGATGTACATCTTCCAGCTGTTTGACTACTATGCTTCCAGTGGCATATGCCTGCTGTTCCTGTCAGTGTTTGAAGTGGTCTGCATCAGCTGGGTGTATGGTGAGTGGGGTGGAGTGGGGTGGGCAAGCGGGGCGGGAGAAAGACCACCGAGGCCAGCCAGGGGCAGGCTCTGCCTGGGGGAGGCAGTTCTCTGGCCCTCTGGTTTCTGTGTGTCTTTGCGCTGTTGCCCCGCTTCTTGCTGGGACATTTACCTGTGGCTGGGAAGCCTGGCATTTTCATGGCAGCAGGCAGAGATGTAATGATGCAAAATGGATTTCTGTCAACAGTGAGAGAATGATCAATAACAGTGCACAGGGCACAGTGTCCTCGATATGGAGGTGGCCAGAGGCCCTTTGCCACTGGGAATCTTAGTCAGAAGGGATGTTTATCGCCACTTAGCCCAATCCTCCACAAACTCCCACACTGCCCTTCCAGCAACTAGGGGATCACCCAGACTTTGTCTGAGTACTTCCACGGACAGGGAGCTCATCCCTGTGTTTTCCGGGGGGATCACCCAGACTTTGTCTGAGTACTTCCATGGACAGGGAGCTCATCCCTGTGTTTTCCGGGGGGATCACCCAGACTTTGAGTACTTCCACGGACAGGGAGCTCATCCCTGTGTTTTCGAGGAGGTCTTTTCCATTTATGCATTTCTTTCCTATACCAAGGTGAATTCTGCCTTTCACTGGTCCCTGCCAGCAGCCTGGCCCCTCAGACTGAGATCGCTGCAACAGCCAGGTGGTGACTCTGTCCTACAACAGGAAGGGAGGAAACCCGATTTACTGAGCCAATGCACGTGCGCGCCAAGCACTGTGCTGGCTGGTCTCATGCACTTATAATCTGTGCAGGGGGAGAGTGAGGCTCAGAGGGTTCAGCCTCTTGCCTAAGCTCACATAGCAAGCAGAGAAGCCGTCGTCATACCCCAGGTCCCTCTGGCTCCACTGCACCACGCTGGGGGAACACAGTGCCAATGTCACAAGGCTCAGGGTAGCGGTCAAGTGGGGGCCACACAGTAGGGCCTCAGGAAAAGCCACGAGTAGTAAAGACTTTATTTTGCTACCCTAAGCCTTCCCACTTAGGTCCTTTCCTCTCCATGGAGATGTTCCTTCCTTCTCACCTCAGGCATCTGATGCCTTCCGATTTTCCCCAACTCCTTTTCAAAACTTCTTCTCTGAGAGGACCTGCTAAACTTGATCACAACGGGTGCAAATGGCTGATAAGCCTTAATATGGTTCGCTCACCCGGCAATATCTGGCTTTCAACTTTGGCTTTTCTCAGTCAAAGGAATGACTCTTTCATGGTGTGATTTTATGCGTCAGGGATCAGTGGGGAAGTATTTTGGGTGGGAAGGTAGAGAGGCCCTCCAAGTCTCTTCACCAATCAGTGATTCTTTACTTAGAAGACTGGCTCTGCCTAGAACTTACAGCAAATGTGGAAACCTCAGGAATTAAACAGAACAAAATAAGGCCAGTCAATGTTTTCACTAAACACAAATTAACCTTCTTACCATGCTTTTTTGGGAACTCAGAGGTGGTTCCTCCGGAGTCTGGATCCAGACCACCGCTCTGTTCCCAGCAGCCCTCCAGCCCTCTGTGAGTTTTCTGTGACACGCTTGAACAGGGGGAGGCTTGTCGTTTCGCTGTTTTGACTTGAACCAGTTTCATCTCTGCTACCCACGTAAACAGGCGTTTGTCTAAAACACACCCCTCCTTTGTGGTTAGGACAGTGGGGTCTCTGTCATAAGACGGAGGCAAGAGACGGCACTGACAAGAGACGGCAGCAGCAGTGCGTGGGGGCAGCCCCCGTCTGCGCCGCACTCCCTGCCTTGTGACTGGAAAGCATCTCGTGCAGGGGTGCAGGGTGGCAGGGAGGCGTCTCACTCACCTGCCTTGTTCCAGTTTCCCTGCACAGGGCGGGGGTGAGGGACGAGCACAGAGCCAAGTGGGCCTCTCCCAAACACCGGGCAGCTGTTCTCACCCTCTGGCTCACGCTCTCCCACACCACGTCTGCTCAGGGGCGGACCGTTTCTATGACAACATTGAGGACATGATTGGCTACCGGCCATGGCCCCTGGTGAAGATCTCCTGGCTCTTCCTGACCCCTGGACTTTGCCTGGTATGTGCCCACCCAGCTGCCGCTCTATTCCTTCCTGCCCCCAGAAGCCCGCAGAGATGAGCGAAAGGATGGCTCTTTCCCCACCTGTCCCGTCTACCATGGGGCCTGGTCCATTTCCCGTTCTCTGTTGGCTTCCCTGCTCTTCTTTCCAGGCCATTTCATCCATCCATGAGTAGAATCTTATCCTACTTCCTGCTCCATCCCTTCCTCACAGTGCCTCCGCCTTCTGCCTGATTTCTCAGTGGTTGGTCTCCTGTCTGTGCTTCTCTTCTGAGCCCCTCCCCACTTTGTATCACCTCCTGTCTCCATCTGTGATGTGAATGATGGCTTGGCCTGGGATTTGCAGGGGCTTTTGCTCCTCCAGCTTACAGGCGTGCTGCGGTGCACCTGACTTGTCCTCTGTCCTTGGCTGTACGTAGCGGCAGGGAGGGTTTCAGTCTCTGCCTCACCCATGGCTGCCCCTTCCTCCTCCCAGGCCACCTTCTTCTTCTCCTTGAGCAAGTACACCCCCCTCAAGTACAACAACGTCTACGTGTACCCGCCCTGGGGATACTCCATTGGCTGGTCCCTGGCTCTGTCCTCCATGGTCTGCGTCCCCCTCTTCACCGTCATCACCCTCCTGAAGACACAGGGTTCTTTCAAGAAGGTAGGTGGTGCGGGGCAGAGTGACCTCTTAAGGGAGGGCACTGAGAGAGGCTGGACATGGGGCAGGACACACGGCTGGGGCCAGGGAGCAGACACATGCTCTGTGGGGCAGCCCTTCAGTCTCACAGAATCTTAATGAGACAAACTTTGAAGACCAGTCCAGTGGCTTTTCAGAAATGTTCTGAAAAGTTCTAGAGTCCTAGAGCTGCAGAATCGGACCTCCTGTGGATGACCTGGGCAGGCTAACCAAGGGCAAACTGCTGAGAGGTTTAGGAGAAAACTAAGTCACAAACATGAATAGGAAGGTGCCCGGACACAGAAGGTTTATAGACTATAGATTTCTTGCCCTCGGAAAACTGGTAACCAGCAAGCACAGTTCACTCCACACACAGGCTCCTGGCTTCTTATCTTAACTCTTCCTGGGGACACACCCAAGAGGCTCCCTGTTTAGAGTTTGGGACATGTCCTCCTGGAAGGAGCTATAGCCAGTGACCCACAAAGGCAGAAATCTATCTTGCCGATAAATAATTGAAAACCCAATCTACAACAGTTTTAGCAAATAGGCTTATTTGTTTTTTACATTTCAAGAAGGTCAGAGATTAGGGCTGCCGGTATTTGGTTCGGCTGCTTAAAGAGGCCCGTAGGGACCAGACTTTTCCTGTATTTCTACACTTCCCTCCTGAGCATGCTGTTTTTTCATCATCATGTTGATCACCTCATGGTCACAAGAAGGTTGTCATGATTCCTTCATCACATCTGCATTCGAGGCAAGAAGAAGGAGGTACCACTGATAAGAAGAAAAATCATAGATACTTATTGAGCACATAGCAAAAGTAATAATCGGAATAGTAATGATAATAACAAAAATAGATATTTATCGAGCACCTACTCTGTGCCAAGCACTGTTCTGTGAGATGTGTTCTACTATTATTCCCAATTTACAGGTGAGAATATTGAGGGGGATTAAATTAACAGAGGGGTTCCGTGAGCGGCCTTGGATGGCACAGGTCGGTAGCAGAGCCAGGACTGGAACCCAGGCAGTGCACACTCGTTCGTAGTCACGGTATTATTGCCTCCCCTCTCACCTCAAATGGTTCATTCATTTACTCACACATACTGTGCGGTGCTGGCCATGTGCTCCGCTCTGGGCTGGGTCCTGGGGATGCTCACACGAGGAACCTTCTGTGCCTCCCTCACCAGCGGCTCCAAATCCTGCCTCTTCTCTCCACAGCGCCTACGTCAGCTCATCACCCCTGACTCCAGTCTGCCACAGCCCAAGCAACACCTCTACTTGGATGGCAGCAATGGCCGGGACTTTGGGCCCTCCCCAGCAAAGGAAGGACTGATAGCCGGGGAGAAGGAGACCCATTTGTAGGGTGTAGCCAGAGGCCAGGCGGCTCCTAAGCTGGGAACCTAGGTCAGGGCCACCCTCCATTCTCAGCGGACAGCCTCTGCCTCTGTCTCCTGCCACAATCCTGCTGGGAACCTCTGGAGAGCCACAGGCACCCCCAGCTGGAGGCCAGACTCCTCTCCTGTGCTAGCTGGAACAGCTCCTTCCCCTGTGCTGATAGCACTACCACTGGGACGTGCCATGTTGGGAAGTCATCCCTGTGGGACGGCACCATCGTTTTTATAAAGGGGGGTCTTTTTGGAGGCCACCATCTGACTGTAACGCCTCGAGTTATGAGGAGTCCACTGTGGGGGTGGCTCTTGTTAGAGCTTACTGCATTTGTACACGGGGAGAGGAGCTCTAACTGGAATGCACACTGCCGTCCGATGTGGAGAGCCTGATGGGACATACCCTGTTGGAAGTGACACTGAGCAACTACGCTGGATCGGAGGTTCCCTTAGGGGTTCTTCCTTAGGCTTAACCACAGAGGCAAGCCTTCACACGCCGTCAGGCTGGAGTCTCCTCCGAGTCTCTCATGGCATCTCCAGCCCCCGCCCTAGTTCCACACTGTGCTTGCAGTGTTTCATCAGCTCTTGGAGCATTGGAATGGAAGGGGCTTAGGAGATGCTTCCTAGACTTCACAAACACACGGCATGCCTCCCTGTACTGTGCGTTCTGCTGCCCAAGGCCGACATTGCTAACTGATCACAGACTCTTTCCCACCTCACAATCCTTCCAAATGCGCTCCAAGCAGCACCGTTTGGCATCCTGCTTCTAACGCAAACCGCTGACTTCATGGATGAAGAACCTGGAGACCAAAGAGACAAAGAGACTTTTTCAAGTTCACATGGCTTCTTGGGGGCCAGAGATATGACTAAAACCTTATCTCCTTGTGCTCAGGCCAGTGTCTACCCATTAACCCCCCTGCCTTAGTTAACAAGTGTGTATGGATTGCCTGTCATGTGTGCTGGTCTCCTTTGCTCCATTGCTGTTGAGCTTTGCCTCTCGGGGTGGGGGAAGAGAGGCCCCCTCTGTTGGAGGTGGTGAGGAGCTCTCCCCAGACTAGTGCTCCTCCCTCTTGGTAATCCTGCTGTCAGCCCGTCATCACCTGGCCCGATGTCCTCCCAGATCCTTTCGTTCTTGTCCTTGCCACCTCTTCTTCCCCCAGGGAATGCATGGAGTCTGAGAGAGTCTCCCAGTGAGTGGGTGTGGGGGTGCTCTCCTTAGCTGCCACACGTGGCTTCGCCCCTTTCTCACCCACTCCTCTTCCCACACCCCTACCAAATCCCACATACCTCTTCTCTGGCTGGAAGGCTTCCTGGAGGAGGAAGGCAGGGTTTGGAGAAGTTCAATGCTCTCGTGTTCGGAAGGGAAGGGAGGAGAGGGACTGGGGCTGGGGAGGGAATTTCAGGGCAGTTTCCGGGGACAAGAGAACCCCCCAGGGTGAGGGGGATGACTGGTATATACATGCCACCTGGAGCCCCCGCCCAGTGGCTGCAGGAAGAATCAGCTCTGGCTGGGGTGAGTCCCGTCCTCGACGGCCCTGTGCCATCTCAGGCACTCTTAGCTTCCGGCCTGTTTCCCTCCGGACTGCTCTGCGCACCTGTGCTCTCGCTCCCTGGACCGGCTAGTGGGGAGACAAGGAGGCCCAGGGCGGAGAGGTGGAGGGCACCGGCTTCGGCCAGATGCTGTCAGTCATGAGGCCGCGTCTGGCGGAAAACGAGGCGAGGCCGGTGCAGCGCTGTCTGCGGCCGCCCGGGGGCAGAGGAGAGCCGCGCCCGTCCCCGCCGCCCGCCCCGCCGCCCTCCCCGGGCCCACAGCGGGCGCGCGCCTCGGCTCGTCCGGTCCTTCCCGCCGCCGTCTCCCCTGCAAACGCCCTGGTGGGCTCGCCTGGGCTCCGGCTCCCGAGCCTCGCTCTCCGCGGACCGCGCCGTCCTCTTGCAGATGCCCTCGCTCTGCGCCATTCGCCCTCCTCTCGGCTGCCCCGAACCCTGGCTGCAGCGTCCGCAGCGCCTCCCTCCGTCGCTCCCTTCTCTGGATGAGTCCGAAGGGATCGGGACGGGGGTGGCCGGAGGGAACAGGGGAGTGCGGGAAGGGACTTCGGGCCGACCTCGCGGTTCACAGGGATCCAGCCTGATGGCTCCACAACCTGGGCAAGGGGCAACTGGTTCGCTCTCCAGCCTGCCCGGAGCACCGGTACAGGCGGTTCACAGGGATCCAGGCCTGGATGGCTCCACAACCTGGGCAAGGCAACTGGTTCGCTTCCTCCAGCCTGCCCGAGCACCGTACAGGTGTGTGTGTGTGTGTGTGTGTATGTGTGCACGTGAGTGCCGTCGCCTGTGTGTGTGTGTGTGGTGGGGTTGTGTGTGTGTGTGCGCCTGTGTGTGTGTGCGCCGTGTGTGCACGTGTGTGTGTGGGTGTGCACGTTGAGTGCGCGCCGCCTGTGTGTGTGTGTGTGGGGTTGTGTGTGTGTGTGTGTGTGCGCTCGGTGTGCACGTGTGTGTGTGGGGTGTGCACGGAGTGCGCGCGCCTGTGTGTGTGTGCGCCTGTGTGTGTGTGCGCCGGTGTGCACGTGTGTGTGTGGGGTGTGTGGGGCTGTGTGTGTGTGCGCCTGTGTGTGTGTGTGCTGTGTGCATCGCAGGTGGGTGTGGGTGTGCACGTGAGTGCGCACGCCTGTGTGTGTGTGTGTGGGTGTGGGTGTGTGGGTGTGTGCGCCGTGTGTGCACGTGTGTGTGTGGGTGTGGGGTTGTGTGTGTGTGTGCGCCTGTGTGTGTGTGTGTGCGCCGTGTGTGCACGTGTGTGTGTGGGTGTGCACGGAGTGCGCGCCTGTGTGTGTTGGGTGTGTGGGTGTGCATACGACGTGCGTGCGTAAGGGGCAGCTGTGGGGTCGTGATTTGGCTTTGCTTTCATCTCATCCCCTACGGTGTTTGAGTTGCAGACTGGTGGACAGAGGCCAAATCTGGCAGCTACAATTTGTTTGGCCAGTATGGCAGGAAAAAATTGATGTCTGCAGCATAAGCGCTCAGGCACTTTCTAGTTTGCCACAGGCTCCCCAGTTCCTGTCACGCCTGACTTTTTCACATATTCGCTTTTGCAGGCATTTGAATTCATAACCTGTGCCCTCGCGGAGGAAGTGAGAACCTTGGGCAGGGGAGGGAACAGGAGCCCTTGGCTGCGATGCAAGGGACAGCAGAGGGCAGTGGTCGGGAGTCCTGGTGCCTCAGAAGGGGTGGTAGCAGGATGGCCACAGGCTCCAGCCTGCTCCTGTGTGGACCTCACACTCTTTGATGCTATTCATTAATCCTGGATCAAGTCCCTCTCCCGCGTGGACTCTCTCCGGAAGAAGGGTAGTGGCTACCTGGAATTTCAGAGCTGCATCTCAAGTGGCAGGCCACAGCAGCGCCCACATGGCAGAGATACACCAAAGCTCAACTGTCTGGGGGGACAGTTGACCCAAGTCCCCAACAGAGAGGCCCATGTGGAACCGAGGCCTCCCACCAACGGTCAACAGCAGCAGCTCGTTGCAAGGCGAAGACGCTGCCTGGAAGTGCATCCTCCCAGCTGGCCAAGGCTTCTAGTGGCAGCAGCCCTGGCTGAGATAGGGACTGCGGGGCTTCACCGAGGGCCTGAGCCAGAAATGCCCAGCCAAGTGGGTCCCGAATGCCTGACCCCAGTGGGAGGTGAGAAATGCATATGGTTGTTTTAAGCCGTAAGTTTTAGGGTGAGTTTTTTACATAGCAGTAGGTAACTAATACCATCCTTGGGTCCAGTTGCTCGCAGTTCCTTCACCTGGCTGACAGCGGCTGGTGGCTGCTGGTGGAAGGTCTCGGCTCCTCCCATGTGGGCTCTGTTGGGTCGAGTGCGCCCCTGGACAGTCAAGCTTCAGCGTGCTTGGGTGCTGTTGTGGCCACTTCCCAGAGCGCAAGAGTCACCCTCTTTGAGGGTCAGGCATGGCCCCTCATCAGAGGTGTCCCTCAGCCCCCTGGTTCCCTTCTGCCTGAGCCCCTGCCTCTCTCCCACAGCCTCACCTCCTCTGACCCCTCCAGAGCTCTCCCCGACCCGGGGCTTACCCTCTCCTTGCCATGAGGAGGTGAAGACTGGCTGTCTCTGTCCCTGCCACCTCCGTGCTCACATGCCCAGGTTCCTGGCAACCCAGCCCACACAGCTTCCCTGCGGGTTCTGCTGCTCAGTGAAGTAACAAGGGCTGATTGGATCTGACAGGGATGAGAAGCTTGTTAACCACCCATTGATGCAGTGGCCATGGGAGGATGTGTTTGCCAGAGAGGATGGGGACAGATGAGAGCCAAGCCTGGCAGGTGGCACAGGGTTGAGGTGGGTCAGTGCCCTGGGCCCTAGCGACCTGCATTCCAGTGCCCTCTGCTTCCCGTCTGGCCACAGCAGGGCAGATCGCCTGTCAGGTCTGAGGAGCCTGCTGGCCTGTGACTGGGAAGTAACTGATGGGGGAGGTGAGCACAAGTTGCCAGATGATGCCACAGAGAGGAGAGCTTGCTCCCTGCCAAGGCTGAGCCCTTGCAGGCCCGTGTTCCTCCACAGGGTCAGTGCCCAACCCATGGCTATAACAAGAGTCTAGCGGAAACTTCTGGTGCAGTCACATTCTGAGACTTTTTCTGCCCAAGCACGTCTCACTAACACACAGAGCGTGGCTGTCGCATCCACAAGGCCCTGGCCCCGAGGCCAGAACTCTGACGCTGCACCTCAGCATGTGGGACTCGAAGTGGGCAAATCCTCTCCCCAGGCAGGACTCAGTCCCCGTCTCACTAAGACTCCCGGCACAGGGAGCAAGCAAAGGTAGCCAGAGTGGGTCTTCAACAAGTGCAGTTGGAATTTGGGTCTGTCATTGAGAGGGGGTCCCGGGGGAGCAGGACAGAGCGCAGCCATGACGGCGGGTGGGGCGTGGGGACCCGCCTTAGCCGGCCAGCTGTCCGGAGACCTGGGCTCCCTGTCCAGCCTCAGCCTTTTCCTCTGGGTTAATTGTAATAGTTTTTTTCCTCTTGGTTCTTTAGGGTATTTTACATAGACAATCAGACTGTCTGGAAATAATGACAGTTTTATTTCTCCGATCATGATTCTTTTTCTTTTTCTTGTCTTCCTTCATTTGGTAACTAGAAGTGGTGGCAGCAGGCATCCTTGCTTCCTTTCTGGTTTTGACAGAAACCCTAACATTTCATTAGTATTACGGCTGCTTTTTTTTTTTTTTTTTTTTTTTGGGAGAGACAGTTTCATTCTGTCACCCGGGCTGGAGCGCAACTGCATGATCTCAGCTCACTACAAACTCTGCCTCCCGGGTTCAAGCGATTCTCCTGCCTCAGCCACCCCAGTAGCAGGATTACAGGCATAAGCCACCGTGCCTGGCTAATTTTTGTGTTTTTAGTAGAGATGGGATTTCACCACGTTGGCCAGACTGGTCTCAGGCTCCTGACCTCAAGTGATCCACTCACCTCAGCCTCCCAAAGTGCTGGGATTACAGGTGTGGGCCCCATGCCTGGCTGGCTGATGACTTTTGATAGATACCATTTACTTAGGCTATGAGGGTTTCCTCTGTTCCAAGTTCTATGGGTTTTTTTCAAATCAATAGTAAGGGTTGAATTTTATGGATTGCTTTTTCTTCATCTATTGAGATGATCATATTGTTTTTCTCCTTTAATTTGTTACTGTAACGCAGTATTATATTTTTCTAGTATTTAATCATCTTTTCATTCTTGGGGCAAACCCTACTTGGTTATGGCATATCTTTTTTTGTCATTCAATACTGGGTTCGGTTGGCTAATATTGTGTTTAGAATTTCTGAATTTATGCCCATAGCAAGATTGGTTGGTAGTCTTGTCTCATGTCATCCTTGTCTGCTTTAGTTTTTGTTTTTAAGATTACACTAGGCTCATGAAAAGGAGTTTGGAGATGTTCTTTCTCTTTCTCTTTTCTGAAAGAGTTAATAGGCTATTGGAATTATCTGTTCCTTGAAGTGTAGTAGATTTTGTAAATCGTCTGGCCTGGTGTTGTGTGTGTGATTTTTCTTGGGGTTGGGGGGTGGGCAGTGGTGAATACTTTCCTTCTTTTTTATTTTTATTTTTTGAGACAGAGTCTTACTCTGTCACCCAGGCTGGAGTGACGTTAATTTTTTGTATTTTTGGTAGAGACGAGGGTTCACGACGTTGCTCAGGCTGGTCTCGAACCCCTGAACTCAAGTGATCTGCCCACCTCCACCTCCCAAAGTGCTGGGATTACAGGCTTGAACCACCATACCTGGCCCTCTCTCTCTTTTTTTTTTTTGAAACAGGGTCTCGCTCTGTTGCCCAGGTTGGAGTTCAGTGGTGCAGTCGTGGTTCACTGCAGCCTCAACCTCCTGGGCTCAAGTGATCTTCCCACTTCAACCTTCGAGTAGCTGGGACTACAGCTGCATACCACCATGCCTGGCTTATTTTTAAAATCGGTGGATAGACAGGGGTCTCACTGTGTTGCCCAGGCTGGTCTTGAACTCCTGGCTTCAAGTGATCCTCCTGCCTTGGCCTCCCGAAGTGCTGAGATTCCTGGCCCAAAGGCTTGTAATTACCTATTCCACTTTAATTTAATGGTTATACATCCCAAATTTTCTGTTTGTTCTTGAGCAAGATTTGGTAAGATACTTTTCTAGGACAGCGTTCATCTTGTGGAGGGTTTCAAAATTATTGCCATAGGTTTATAGTTGATTTGAAGTATTTTATTTTG